TGTTCCCGCCGAGGCACAAGAAGCCATGCTCAAAACCATCAAGGGTCTGGAAAATGTCAAGATGCTACAACCAGGTTATGGAGTTGAATACGATTATGTGGATCCTCGCAGTCTGCGCAAGACTCTGGAGACAAAGGCCATCGGAGGTTTGTTCCTGGCAGGCCAGATCAACGGCACAACAGGCTACGAAGAAGCCGCTGCTCAGGGCGTCGTTGCTGGTATCAATGCAGGCAACTCTGCATTGGAGAAGCCACAGCTGCAGTTGACAAGAGCAGATGGTTACATTGGCATCATGATAGATGACTTGATCACGAAAGGCGTCTCGGAGCCATACCGCATGTTCACCTCGAGATCAGAGTACCGCATGTCTGCCCGCGCCGACAATGCCGACCTCCGTCTTACCGCCAAAGGACGAGAGCTTGGTGTAGTCTCGGACTCACGCTGGTCCCACTTCTCGTCGCAAAAAGCACAGATGGACGAGTTGAAAACTTTGTTGGAAGGACACACCCTATCCAGCAGCGTTTGGCAATCACATGGCTTCCCCGTCCGCAGTGACAGCAGCAAACGCAGCGCATTCGAACTCTTACGTCTCGCATCCATATCAGTCTTCAGCCTCACCACTCTATTACCGGACATTGCGAAATTCGACCCTCACATTGTTTCTCGTATGGACATTGAAGGCACTTATTCTCCCTACGTCACCCAGCAAGAAACACAAGCCAAGCACTTTGAAAGAGACGAGCAACTACTGCTTCCTGCAGACATCAACTACGAGAACATCTTCGGACTTAGCAACGAAGAAAAGAGGGTGTTGAGCGTTACTAGACCCGAGAGCTTGGGACAGGCTCGAAGAATAGAAGGTGTCACGCCCTCGGGTACACTTCGTTTGTTGGCATATGTCAGGGGTGCCGGAAAGAGAGCAGCTGCTGTCGATCAAGTGCTTGCTTCACAGGAGAAAGAGGTTGTTGCTTAATGGTACGAAGATCTATCAGAGAGGTTTATTGTATTTGGGTGGCACGGGCGTACAACTGGGAAGCATCTGCATGGAAAGGAGTTCATGGTGGGTGGGAGTTTGTACAATATTACCTTATATGAGCTAAGTTGCTCCATTCTCTACTTCAACTCTGCCCTTGGACTAAGTGAGCTTTTGCGATTACATCACACGAGAGGATTGCAAGTGTTTGAGAGAAGCATGTTTCCATTGACTAGCAATTCCAATCAATCGACTCTCGACTTTATACATGTCCAATACATCCCCATCCATCTTCCAAAATGGCAAGAACGCCTTTCGGACTCTTCGCTTATCCATTGGTGATCCAGAAGTGCTGGCATCCACTATCATACTTTCTTTGTCCACGACCCCTGGGGCCACCACCGACACAGACCTCATACATCTGACTCTCACACCATTCCTTGGGCACAAAAGTGCCATACCTGCAGCTAGCACCAACGCCGACCTTGACTCCCGATTGAGACTGACCGTCGGCGGCATAGGCATTTCCAGTCCAGAAGTTGTGCGAGCAGAAGTTCATGATTGCACCCACGACCCGAGGGTCCTTTTTGACGCATATGTTGCGGTTGTTCCACACTTGCCAGAAGTCCGGGCCGGCGAAGGCGGGAGTGGCGAGGGAGAGGAGGGCGATGAAGCCGAGGACGAGGATGCTGAGGCTGCGGCTGAGCATCTTTGCGGTGTTGGTTTGGGTTCTTTGGTTGCTTGTGGATGGATCCAAAGAAAAAAAAAAGAGTGGGAGGAAATCGATTCTTTCTCGATGACTGGTTCCTGTTTGGAAGTTACGGTTGTTCGGCACATGGCGCCTTCTTATCATCATGCAGTTCACAATATTAATCTCCCGGGTTCAAAGAGATGTGCTCTTGATGTCCGGTTTCAGGACAAACTTGCCTTGTGGTTTGTGTCTCGGCCACCATGAGCATCTTTTGGTATAAAGAAACATGTCCAGTAACTTGTCTTGGCGGAATCATCCTTCACGGTGGCAGGAAAGGCTTTTTTTCTTTGTCCAGAGTATGAGTTGAAGTTGTGGAATGTGTATGTGGTTCTTGCTATTGTTCTCCCCAGGTTAATATTGTTTCATGTCCGGGGCAGTCGAAGCCTAGCAGCAAACAAAGACAGAACGAATCCGTGAACCATCTACACTCGACCATAAGTTGGGACCTGGAAGACTATGGGGAAAATATGCTGTACGGACATCTCATCTTGATATCGGTTTATCGTTCGCTTTAGCAGTATGTAATGATATTGACCATCTTTGAGGAGGTTATCTCTTTAGAGCAGTTAGCATGCACATAGACCGATCGCTTTCGAAGAAGTCCTAGGACGCTTAGGTGTTTCGTACAAGGGTCTCCAAACAACTGATCGCTTGGCCTCCTCAGACATCTACCAGACACACGCTATCGACGGAGCCAAAGCCAGCTGCTACACCACCCTCCTCGCTCTGATCGCCCTTGGTTCTGAGCAAATATCCAGCCTGTCTATTCTCGAGCATCTCTTGCACGCCATCCTCGCCACTCTTCGTCTTCCACAAGCAAACACCATATACACCCAATTCTCCAATAACGCCGCCCTTTTGGACCTCTCCGTTGCGGAAAATGGTGTTGGTCAGTGCTGGTGGCTCAATCATCTCCATCAGAATGTAAGCAGGCCAGTGCGACTCGGGTGTCTCTTTCAGGAACTTGGGGATGGCTTTACGGTAAACATTGTTGCCACCACCTTCACGCTGAGGCTTGAGAACATAGCGGGTAGCACTTTCTGCATTCTGAGCAAGCTTGCAAGCTTCTTGACCTGCTTCACTCTTGTCGAGAGGATAGATTGGTGCAAACGTCTTGAGGACCTCGGCAGCCTTGTTCTTGTCTGGGAGGAAGCGGGCAAGATGAGGCGAGTTGGGGGTCGCGAGAACTTGTTGGACCTTCTTCGAGCCGGCCAAATGGGTCAAAATGCTAGGACATTTGACAGCTGCACTACGCTCAATATGCAGGCGAGCGTCCCAGTCAGTCTTTCCAGAATAGTCGTCAGGAGAGTAGCCAGCGCGGAAATAAACAAGTGACACCTCCCAGGTCTTGTTGGGTGCGTGGGGAGGAGTGTAGAGCAGGGTCCGCTTCTCGTCAAGCCTGGTGTGAGACATGATTTTGTTGAAGGGCACACGGAAAGCTCTGACTTGGTGCTCGTTGAAGAGAGTGTATTCCAAATGTCTCTGATCGAAGACGTTGCGTTCCGGGTCCTGAACAAGGAATATGACGCAAAGAGGAGAACCGCTTCTTGATTCACCATAAGCCTGATGGCCAGCAGCCAGACCTCCGGCAAGTGATGGGACTGATGTGCTTGGCGGGAGAGATGAAGTCTTGATGGTTGATTGGGTCTCTTCAGGATAGGCATCTACAGACAGAAGATAGTTGTGCAGCTTTGAGACCTGTGTAGAGAGTCCTCCGAAGGATGAGGCAATGGTGTTGAATTCTACCTGTTTGATAGTTGGTTTGGCAGCAGAGTGAGCCGGGTCAAGATGAACCATGTAATCAGAACGGAAGAGGCCAAGAGTGATACCCTAGGAAGACGTCAGTACACAAAGGCTAGAAGATTCTCCAAAAGTGTCTACCTGAACGTATCCATCCTTCTTCACAGCTTGGTGAACCTTCCACAGTTCAGCGATGAAATCATCTACCTCGACGAGTCTGGGCGCGAAGTTAGCATAGTTGGCATAATCCAGGGCTGGTTCGTGCCCAGAACATAGCGGAACTCACTCCTCAACAATCTGCTTGAGCCAAGTTTCGTTGCTTGCAATAGCAGCATAGAGCTCATTGTATGCTGTTTGAATGCCAAGACCTTGTTCGAAGCAGTTCCTAGGGAAAAGACTAGGAAAGAGGGTAACAGGAGCGGTGACTGCTAGCGAGCCGACTGGATCCTGTTCTTTCGGGACCCAAGATGGCACCGGTCTCACTGCCAGACCATTTGCAATTGACCAGTCTTTGACATTAGTAATCAAGTATTGAAGCTGTTCCTCGTTGAGATCCGGAGGGTACTTGGGGTAGATCTCACGCGACATGGTAGAAGCGAGGACAGCAAGTAAGGACGAGAGGTAATGTGTTTGTGAGTCTAAGACTTGGTTGTACGCAATGAGTGATAGGAAGAGTTGGTGGTCGAGGTGCAACTGCCGGATGAATTGCGGCAGTCTGATGAAGGCCCGCTGTCGCAATCGCGCGTCACGGCAAATGCCTGAACTTCTGCCTAACCTATTCATCTGGTGTCAAGAGCTCAAGGAGCATCAGCTCGCACCACTGTAAAGTCAGGTTGATGATTGCCATCGTTTTGGCCGGTCATTGAGCTACGTTAACAAGTAGTGACGCGACTGTTCGTCTTGGTGTCGTGTTAATTCTACGCTAGAATATTTCAGCATTGACATCAAACGCGTGCGTAGAGCCAGCAGCTGCCATCAGGACTCGAGGGAGATGCAAAGCAGAGAGAGGACTACATCACTTCGACTTCAACAGCCGAGGCGACGGTGGGTCTAAACGTGGTCTGCACCAATAGACTGTGCGTCTTTCGATTGCTTTGCACACGCTCTCCATGTACATATGAGCAACGAAACTTCACATCCGTTTCGTCTAAAGCGCCCAGCGCCGAAGTGAACCACCTGCTTCTTTCCACTGTAAGTCTTGGTTTCTCGTCTTGGTCTCTGGCGTCACGCATCAACACTTTCACCATCCCTTGGCACTCCGTCGAGCACCACAACACCTCCTTTTCAGGAAACTGACATCGGAAGAGCCAACAGGATCAACCGCTATCAAGAGTTGGCGGCGCCGACTTCTCTCTGTCACTGGCGCCATCTTAGGTTAGTTGTTAGGCAACGACCCATGCACTCGCACGCTCCTTCCTTCACATACACCAACATCGACCACCTCAAAGCTACGTGCCCTCCGGTCCTACAGCTAGAACACCACAACGTATCAGCATCATAGCATCACCAGTTTGTCAACACGCGCAAGCCTTCATCATGCCCGAGGCCGACCCATACAAGTGGTCCTCCGTAGACACTGTCGAATTCTTACAGCAAAACCAGTTCGGCAGTCTCGCCCAGCAATGGTCTACCAATGATCTCAATGGTCAAATTCTGCTTGAGGACGTAAATCTCGCCTTCTTGAGGGACGAGCTCGGCATCGATGGCTTGAAGGAGCGCATCATCATCATGCAGATGATTCGTGGACTGCGCAAATCTTCTGTGGCCTACGCCGAGAGCTTGGGCTTGAGCACTCTGTCGCCCGCGCCGCTGATACCTTTCTCCCACCTCTCCGGCACACAGAGTCCTACAGAGCTTGTTGGCAGCAGAGTCCGCAAAGGAGAGGAGCTGGTCGAAGACTCCGGCGGCCGCAAGCGCCGCAGATTGAATCTCGACACCACTCACGATGATGCTCAATCCGGAGCATCCGAAAGTCCTACCATTACGACTCCGCCCACGATCCAGNCTTACCTCAGGGCCCACTGCACGATCGACCCCCTCGCTGGACGTTCTGGCTTTCTACGTCCTAAGAAACACACTGTCGATGAGATATTCTACGGAGACACCACCTACGGCTCGGAAATCAAGCACACTGAGACCGAGGACGGTGATTCTTACGACAACTTTACCATCTTCGGCAAACCCGAGTTTCCAGGTAATGCTTCGTTCGTTTACCGTCGACTGCAGCATGCGTTCCAACATCTCGACCCGCAGTCCATCACATACCATCATAACCCCGCCCTATCAGTCTATCCATACCCCGAGAGCTTGCTCGAAGACAGAGACGCCAGATCTGTCACTGTTTTTGAGTCTTCGGAGAGTGGCGTCAAAGTCATCCGCGAGAAAGCTCAAATGTTGGCCTTCCAACAGCACGACACAGTGGACACGCAGATGAGTCCTGGCGAGTTCGGCTACCTCCTCGACAAATACGGAGGATCTGATGAACTCCTACCTACGTACGGAGAGTCAGAACATGGCTCAGACTCAGCAGACGAACAGAACGCCGGTCTCGAGGATTCTGACAGCGGATCTGACGACAGCATGGCAGAGGAAGACCTCGCTGTTGAAACACCAGTTCTCTCTCGTGAACTCGTCATTTCTCTAATCGACAAGAACACTGAGCTACAGGCCCAGGGTTGGCGTGACAACCAGCAACCCAAGCTCGAAAAGAAGGCAGCACGCCGTGTCTGGCGTATCGCGAAGGGCAATCCAAAGACGGCTCGCGCCTTGATCCATGGCGCGACCAAGGCAGTTGAGCACCTTAACGCGAGACTTGAGCGTTTCAAGAACAATCTCTTAGACCGCACTTGGGAAGACGAGCAAGAGGTCGAACAAGCTTGCGTGACTCTGGAACCCACCATCAACGACCGTGAGCACGAGGAATGGAAGACCCAGATTTGGGCACTCAAGACGGAGCCTACATTCACATCAAGGAGTTCCAAGCCATCTGGCAGAGACCGTCATGGTCCTTCGAGAAGAGCTCTTGACCTTGAGGAATCAGACGACGACATGCAGGACTTCATTGTCAACGACGAAAACTTCGAAGACGCCAGAGAAAGCCAAGACGACCACGACTCTGAACCTGATTATGACATGCAAGACTCTCCATCCCATAACGGTCTGCAAATCGAAACCACGACGCCCAGCCAGATCAACCAAGACTCCACTGCAACAGCCGATGAAAACATCCCCGATGCGACCGAGGTACCCGCCGACTTTGAGCACGAGGCCCCACGACGTGGATCTGCTGGAAGCGAGTCGCCCCAGCAATTGGTCGACATGGACCAGGCCTCCGAGGCTATGCAAACACCGCAGAAGAACAGACCCACTGCTGGTCCGGAGACCCCTGTGGAGTCTCCTGGCACCCCTGGCACCCCTGGCATGCCTACGCTTGCGGAGTTGTTCCAGTCAAGATCGTTGACCGCGCATAAGAACCCAACTGTCATCGAGATAACCTCGAGCCCTGTGCGACCCGTTGTGGCACATACCACGACTCAACCAAGTCCCCTACAGAGTCTCGATGTGAAGCAAGAGCAGGGAAGGTACACAGAGATCGCTTATTCGGCAACCCCAGACAACGACTCCCTCGCACAAATCCGAAGCTGGACTTTTGAAGGCCTTGAGGAAGAACAAGACCGAAGACGAATCATGATCAAGATTGCGTCCACGCTACACAATGACCAGATTGAGGCACTTGCGCGTCTCTTCACGGGCAACATGGCAAAATTCTTCGAAAAGGTCAGAGCTGCTCTCTCTGCTACAAACAAGGGAAAAGAGTTCTTCGATGGCTTTGATGAAACTGACATCGAAGCCATGCGATATGCAGCCAGACTTTACTTGTGCTTCCTCCACGCAGACCACAGATTCTTCGAGTCTGACATATCGGAGTTTGCTTCCTTCGAGTATGAATGGCCATGGGATGGTGAAAGTGAAAGTGATTACGCAGACGATCTGCGCGCCTGGCATGAATACGCCTGGAGGGCAGTGAAACGATTCAGAAAGGCTCCCATGCCAAAGGACCATGCGTTCATTGATATTAGCGACGATGAACCGATTGGAATTGACAACTCGGGTCATACAAGCGTGCGTAAGAGGAAAGTCAACAGAGACCAGGACGCCGTCAGAAAACGCGCCAAGGCAGCCGAGAGAGCCGCCAACTACGAATCTCAGCATCAGTACAGCCAAACTGGATCGTTCACGGCCGGTGAAGATGGAGGAAGCGAGGTATCCCTCTATGCGCCGGACGACGTGGATCCATCCAAGCATGTGTATCTCAACTCCGACATCGCCAAACGCCTGAAGCCGCATCAGATTGAGGGTGTCAAGTTTATGTGGAGAGAAATCACTACGCCCGAAGAAGAAGACGGCCAAGGCTGTCTGCTGGCTCACACGATGGGCTTGGGCAAGACAGCCCAGAGTCTAGCGCTCCTTACGGCAATAGCTGAGACCGCGAAGGATATGGAAAAGCGCGCCGTTCTCCCCGACGATCTGAGAAAGGCTAAGAACAAGCTCAGAGCGCTCATACTGTGTCCACCATCTCTTATGCCGAATTGGAAGCAAGAGATTGCTACTTGGTGTCCCAACAAGCTGTTCAACGTCTTCAACTTGAGCAGTGAGGTCTCGGCCAAGGCAATGAGACTTGATGAGATCAAAAGCTGGCGTCACTTAGGTGGTATCATGCTTTGTGGTTACACAATGTTTACTAAGTTGATCAACCGCCAGGTCAGCAAGAAGGAAGCTTTTACCGATGCAGAACATGAGGTTGTAACAAAGACTCTCCTTCGAAAAGCCCATATCGTCATTGCCGATGAAGTGCATTCGATCAAGAATGACATGAGCAAAGTTTCCGCGGCTGCTCACAAGCTCGAAACTCAACGTCGCATTGGATTGACAGGCTCACCTATGAGCAACAATACTGCAGAGATCTTTGCGTTGATCGACTGGGTTGCACCCAAGTTTTTAGGCAACAAGACCGAGTTCAAGGCAGATTACCAGGAGCCGATTGAAGCTGGAACTTACAGCGACAGCACCGGACATGAAGTACGCAGGTCCTTGAAAAAGCTTGCAGCATTGAAAGAGATCATCACACCGAAGTTAAATCGTGCCGACATCACGGTCCTCAAGGGCTCTCTCAAGAGCAAGGTGGAATTTGTCTTGACAGTTCCGCTGACTGGTGTGCAGAAGTCGGGCTACGAGACTTATGTCAAGGAAATCCTCCGTGGCAAGGCCGGCGAAGAAGGCACAACAATTACGCAAGTCAAGCTCTTTGGATGGTTGTCTATCCTGCAATTGCTGTGTAATCACCCTATCGTCTTCCGACGCAAGTTGCTCGAGCCACCCAACAACAGCAAGAAGGCCAAGAGGATTACCCTCGATGCTACAGACACAGAAGCTCTTGTGAGCTGGTCCGCACCAGGTCCACCTACAGCAAGTCCGTCTGTAGCAGGACCATCAACAGCAGGTCCATCCACGATGAATGCACCTGCTTTGTCATTGACAGCAGCGCCGACGTCGGGAACTACCTACCTGATGGAGGAACTACCGGTGGGTGGAGACGATGCAGCATATGCAGATGCACATATCTCTCAGTATGACATCAACAAGGCCGTCGTTGACGCATTGCTTCAAGTCGTTCCCGATGACGACGCCATCGAGTTGTCTTACAAAACCCTGCTCGTCCGAAAGATTATGAGTCTCTCGATCCAAGCTGGCGACAAGGTTCTTATCTTTTCTCAGAGCATTCCATCACTAACATTCCTGAACGCCATGCTATCAAGTGTCGGCGCCCGCTACGGTCATATTCAGGGGGACGTCGCTCAGGAAAAGCGTGAAAAGTTGCTCAAGTCGATGGCTGACGGCAAACTCGATGTTCTGCTCATCTCAACCCGTGCAGGTGGTCAGGGATACAACATCCAGCAGGCCAACCGGATCATCATCTTTGATTTCACCTTCAACCCGACCTGGGAGGAACAAGCAATTGGAAGAGCTTACCGTCTAGGACAAACCAAGCCTGTATTCGTCTACCGTTTTGTCGCTGGTGGTACTTTCGAGTTCGCACTCTACGACAAGCAGCTATTCAAGACAGGTCTCTCTTCCCGCGTGGTCGACAAGAAGAACCCCGTGCGCAACGCCATCAAGAAGCCCGGCGACTGGCTAAAGCCACCACTTGATGTTATACAACAGGACATCAGTGCTGAAATTGGCAAGGACGAACATGTGATGGACAAGATTATCGCTAGCCAGCGCAGCGGCCAGGATCAGTTCATTCGTAGTATCAAAACTATGGAGACTCTTATGGGAGAGTCCAAGGACGAAGCTTTGACTGCAGAGGAGATGCAGGAGGTGGAACTTGAAGTGTTACGCGCAAAGACTCGCAAGCTGGCTGGTATCCCTGAGGGTCGCGCAACATTGGTGCCACCTCAGTTGGGTCCACGTTCGACTGGTTTTATCTTGCCTGAGCCTGGCGCATCTTCAACTACGCCTCAGTTGGAGCCCGCTAACCCGGTCAGCTCACCACCTACCCCGAGCAGAAGAGTGGTTTCGAAGTATTGACATGTGGCATGAAGTATTCAGGCGGGACGAGCTGGGAAAAGAAGAGTGACCATCGCTTGTGGAGTTATACCTAATCGAAGTAGCACTTTTTACAATCATGAACTTTCCACTTATCTATAAATTTATACCTGAGCTATACAGATGCACACTACGTTTTAGACTCCAAGAAAACTCAACGAAAACCACGAACTCTTGGATTCTCTTTCGGCGTGCTGTTGATGCAGAGAGATAGTTGTGTATCTTGATAACCAGCCGGGTGACAAACTTTCAGAAAGACAATATCATGATCTTGGCACCGCATCCTGACGTAATCATTTCCTTCACCTTCACCTTCAAACCCCGAACCTAATCCCGAGCACCAAAACAATCTTCCAGAGCACAAGACAGGACAGAATCTGCCTGTTTCTCGGGAATCCATCAGTTGAACAAACAAAGAAATCGAGATGCCACCAAATAGTGCCCATGGCAAGCTGGACAGCGAGGAGACGAACGCGGCAGCGTGGCAAGCCACAAGAGGAGCTGTTACAGGAGCAGCAAGGGTACGTTCGATTCTTGAGTTGCTGAGTTCCCACAGCGTTTCATCGGTCCTAGATTTCACATGCTCTACTGTGGTATCGTTGTTCATCTCACTAACGGATTCGATAGTGGGGCATCTACTCTGCAGTCGCAGCTGGCATTGCATATGCTTATTCACCAGTGTACCGGGGCCTGACGGTCCAATTTAAAGTGTATGTATCTCTGAATTTTGTGTGCCGTGTTCGAAGCTATGTTATTCAAATGAGCATGCCGTCGCGAAAACATTATCTGATGGAAAAGCTCTTTTCCTGCCATTTCATCTGTCTATCCTGCCTAGTCGTCTCAGTCTTGATTCAAGTCCCACAACCCAGAGAGTCAGTGAAACAACTATACTAACCCTGTCACAGCTTCCTTCAGATGTCTGGCATGATATTCGGTAGTGTCATAGAAGCAGATGAACGCTTGCGTATCTATGGTGATCAGTCACGGCGTCAGAAGGTTATGGCCCGGGACGCCGCTGTATGGAGGAAATACGAAGAGGAGTTTGAAAGTCTGGGTATTCCTGGTGTTGCTAGCGAGGCTAGAGCAAAGAAGGAACAGCAGCAGGAGAAGTAGGGCCAAACCATAGAAAAGAGTGCTGGTAAAGAGGCGCTTTGTATCATACCATCGAACTGACATACACACTGCTGTGGTTCTGAAACTACTCCCAAACCACGTCTCATCTCTGAAGGCATCGCGAAGGCAACAACACTCTGCCGTCTTGGAAACGAGAATCACGTCATTTCGGATGAGTTCTGGAGACGACGTGCCTTGATCTCTTCATGGTAGGTATGCAAAGTATCCGTGTTAACAACCTCAGCACTCACAAATCATGACATACAGCAAGACTGCCAGGACTGTACTTTCTTCCGAATTTTCCAATGACCTAACCACATGAATTCATCAAGCTTTCTCGTTAGCTGATCAGTAGGAGACTCGTGACTCGTCTAGAATTGTACAAGGCATTCAAATCCCACAAACTCGCTCTCTTATAATCAACTAGCTGTTGGCATGATATTCCTACGATCGCTGAAGATTGCCTGATAATGGGATGTGGCTGGAGCCGAGCACGATGAATCACCTGGACAGAAGATTGTACCGTCTTGACATGTGGTATACTAGTCGTAGGCCTGGTGCCTTGATGCTTGTGCTATACGACTGGAGAGTCTGTAGTGCTGTCAGGAGTGCTGATCGTGATGCAAAAAGTGTCGGCTCAGCATGAACCCTGACAGTGGACAGAGGGCGGAGATGCGGTCCACTGCAAAGGCCCCGTCACGAGCATGTATGAAGCACGTCTGACAAGACACTGACGCAGACTCTAGATCGCTCTCCGACTACCTGAGATAGTTGGTCCCGGTCACGCATCGGCCGTGGCTTCATCAGTATCGACCTGTATCCGAAAGTGTTGCGTGTGTCTACTGCTATACATATGTGCGTGCGTACGGCAAACGAGGAACCTATCACCATTATCGCATCACGTAGCGTTTTCGTCATTCCCAAACGCGCGATAGATGCTCAGTGTGTCTGTCGCCAACGCAAACTTCTTGGCTTTTCTCGTATGCTGACGGCTGGATTCGGACACCTTCGCTCACCTCGTAACTGGTCCTCAAGTATCGGTTTCGAGGTTGAAAGATTGGAGTGAGGACGTGGAGTCGCTGGAGCGAAAAGGAAGCGACGCCGTCGGGAATACCCTAGCCCTCCGCTTCCGAGCAGATTACGCATACATAACACATCAAGTTCACTGCTGATTCTCTCACGACAGGGCATATCGAACCACTCGTAATCAAAGGAGCGAGCAGTACTGATGCAAAAAGGAAAGTGACTTCAGCGGAGCAAAACCGTTGATCCGTAAGTTATCAGTTGGAAGTTGGGAATGTGAGCCCCTGTTAAGACCACGGAAAATTAGGCTGTACACCCTAGTGCCTGGCCAGATCACTAGACCAAAGAGCCATCCTCATTTTATTACACTTCTCATCTGAAAAAAAGAGTATATAAGGGTTGACCTCACAAATCTGACATTTTGCGCAGGTCGACCTTCGCACTCAACACACAGTCATCAGGGATATTTCTACATCTGGGCCATTCACTTCATGTATAGAATGCTACTGTTCGGTTCATGTATCGATCCTTCCGCGCGATCGATGTTCTTCGCCCAATTGATGGCAGAATAAGACACCGGCTACACTTGTTACTTGATCTTTGATTCACCACACTGACGGCTTGAGGCAGCAGCAATGAGTACGAGAAGGAAGTGTCGTTCTCGCAAAGCATCAAAGTATGGCGTTGAGTAAACATGCCAACGAACGATATGAATCGGCAGCACTCGCTTTTGCAACGTCGACAAGCAATAGTCCAGACTCTCATAGTCATGTATACTGCCGTTGTGTGAGGTTCTCCGCGGGCTTACTCTGTTGATGCATCCAAATCACTGTGCCGACCAAGTGTTCGATCTTCTCGCGAAAGCACAAAAATCTCAGCCGACCGCGACCGCCGCGCTCATATCAACCCCTTGCTGAGGTCCATCGAGCAATGTTGTTCCTACGACTACTTGCTGCAAGAAACTGCCTGCATCAAAGTTGTTCTCGTTTCCATCTTTCGTGGTACGAAGCGGTTTATACACGGATCACCTGCTTGCCCAGACAAGCCTCAAGTGACTGCTGACAGGTTCCCGCGTACTGCGTACCTTTCAAGATCTCAGTTTCGTGATTTTCGTGAGAGACTTTTGATTTTGATCAATGGACTTTCAGTAATCAGCAGCCTGGCTTTGTCTTCTTTCTCTTCTCCTCGACATTAGAATTGCTATCACCAAGCCAACTATCATCATCGCTGTTATTTCATTCTCACTCAAACACCGGTAGTACCATCGTATTACTCTATCTTCCGCTATCGCTATCTTTAACATGTCTTCCTTGAGTCAACCGAAGCTGACCGCTAAGAAGTCCATTGAGGTATGTTGTTCTTATCCTGTTGCGTTCCCTCGCTAAACTCTGCATTTGTAGGACCGCCAGACCTCTAATGATGAAGTCTGCACTGCCAATCATCTGAGTTCTGAACGTGGTATTGCATTCAGTCTGCATTTTGTAGTATCCGCATGCTACTTCCTGTTCAGACACAACTGGAGTCCATGGTCACGACTGTTTCGGCGTCAGCCCATCAAGCTCAATACCACCACATTTCCCTTCCATCCGCTAGAGAGATTTGCTACCAGACACTATCGGTTAACTGGAACATCCGAACTCGTTCACAGGATCGTCGCCGCTCAGAGAGTCAGAGCTGCAGCGTCTGCCCCCCTGTCTGATCCATCATAATCTGACTTTGAGCGATGGTTATCACCATACTTACGGGCGTGATAAAGAAACAGTGATCGTTCAAGGCGAAAGCAATGGTTTACCGGTCGCACCTTAGATCAAACACAGCGCGACAGCAACTCATGGGGACCGAATGTACGAATCGAAACGTGCCGCTGTGGCGAGAAGATATCTGTATGCTTGCTTATATGGCCGTACACATGCGAGTTTCACTGCATCGTGCCTTGAACTTTGTTTGATTGCCAATTCTTACTTCGAGACGGCAACCATAACGATCGAGGCTGGCCATGACTCAGTTCATTTGCGCTCTTCCGTAGTCCTTCATAAGCTCCTTTACCCTCTTCAGAGGCAGCGCTTCTACTTTGTGTCCCTCGACTCCCTGCATCGTCTCTGCAAGGAACAAAGAGTTGTAGATTGCTTCTTCCACACACTCTGCCGTAGCATCGAACAAGGAAGACAACGCCGAATCTTCCACAGCCTTGACTTTCTCGATCGTTGTTGTACTTTCACCCTCTGATGGCCGAGGCTGGTTGACAGGAATCTCATTGCCAGTCGAGAAGGCCAGAAAAATGTCGCCGGACATGTTGTGCCCAATACCGCCAACTCGAGATAATCCGACAGTAGCCCGTTTGGCAATCCGAGTGAGTTGATGAGGTAGCAATGGTACATCTGTGGCGATAATGACGATGATACTGCCGTCCTTCTCTTCCTTGGCCTTCTCCAGCTCCTCCTTTGCCTTCTTCCTTGCTTCATCTTTCTGTGCCTCATCAGCCAATATTCGACCAACAGGTACGCCTGCAATACGTAAATCCTTCATGGCTCCATAGTTTGCTTGAACCATGCAAGCCACCGTGAAAGTCTCATGTCGATGAGAAATTTCGATTCGTCGACTCGAAGATCCATTGCCACCTTTGAAGCCATGACAGATCATACCGTTGCCACCTCCTGCGTTACCTTCCCGAACTGCCACTCCGGTCTCTGCTCCATGCAAGCCCTCTATTACATGCTTGGGCGTAACTGCGAAGGAGGCACAATCATGCAGATATCCATCAAATGTCTCTGCAACCACAGGCAATGCCATGAACGACCTGCCGACAGTTTCGACCCCGTATTGGAGTATCCCTTGATGAGCAGCCCCAATGCCAAAAGTACCGGTCAAGACGATAGGCGAGCACAAAAGTCCGCCCTCCGCGATAAGGTGGCTTCCGGTCATTTCGCCGTAGCCATTGAAGCTGAAAAGACCGGCATAGCAGGCTTTGTGGAACCAGTCCTTGCGAGGGATAATGCATGTGACTCCAGTATTTATGCTCGCGTCCAAAGACGTGATCTCTTGAGTCGAGATTGCGATGCCAGGCACATCAGTCAAAGAATTCAGGGGCCCTGGAAGGTGGTCACCGAGGAAGAGGTCTGGTAGGAGGGTACGGATGCGCATGCGAGGCTCTGAGGCCAATAGCCAGGGCCGGTGTTTCTTGACCATTTCTTAGAAAGAAGAAACAATTAATCTGATTTGTGTTGAAGACAAATCATGAGTATAAAGGAGCACGGCCGATGGAGTCTTCTAATCGTACTGGTTAGGCAGCAACATTGGGACCAAGGCAGCAATGTGTGTGATCAGCCATGATGATCGTAGGATATAGTATTGGAAGCGTCATTGATATGCTGCGGTATGAATGATCAATCATTATTCGATCATGTTCAAGACCTGATGATTATGCATCCAGTTGCAGATGGCAACCCTCCCTGTCCTTGTCGAGAGATGTCCGCCAAAAGAGATCAGGTTGGAAGTGCTTCAGTGCCCGGACTTGGACGAAACAGGTTGCGCGATACTCTGAGATAGCATTGTATACCATTGTACAGCGATGAAAGCAAAAAGGGCCAGTTGACCTAAGGAAAAGGGTGAAGTGTCAGCGTCCTCTCCAGGCAATCGCATCAGGCAAGAAGGATCGACCTCCGCCCCGCGAGCGCGTCACAGCTTCAAGACGCGCTTTCCACAATCGCGTGTCAGCCGCGAGCATCCCAGCTTGTCCTTGCCTTGTACTGTACATATTCTTCCACCAACATTTGTACGTCGCCACACCGCAGCCCATGCCTCGAACGCGCAATCGCGCCAGTGCTGCGCAGGAGAAGGTCGTCGTCCAAGAGCCCGTCGTTGAGGAAGCACCTGCCGAACAGGAGGAAGAGGAGGAGCATCAGAGCATCGAGGGTGCCCCGAGGCCGCTGGACTTCGACGAGTCGCTGACATGGCGCGCCGGCAAGCCCATCGCCGTCGCCGAACTACTACGTCGTCTGAGGACTTTGCACACCGAGCTGAGCCAACTGGACCAAGAAGATGCACACCGCGACTCTCTCGTGCCTGTCGCGCAAGAGCTGGCCCACCGCAATCTGCTCGAGCATCGCGATCGCGGTGTCAAGGCCTGGTCTGCACTATGTATCGTTGAGATGTTCAAGCTGTTGGCTCCCGATGCCCCATTCAAGGCCGCCCAGTTGAACCAGATCTTCTCTCTCATCATCACTCAAGTCCTGCCTGCCCTCGGCAACCCACAAGATCCCTACAACGAACAACACCTTTCCATCATTCGATCGCTGGATGAGGTCAAGAGTATTGTACTGCTCACTGACATTCCCGGTGCCGATGGTCTACTGTACAAGTTGTTCACAGGTGCCTTCGACATCTTCGCCGACACGTCCAAGAATGACAAGGCCGAAGAGCTGGGAAAGAACGTCGAGCACCATGTCACAAGTCTGCTCGTTACCGTTGTGGACGAGAGCCCTTCACTGCCCAACGACGTTGTCGATATCATACTGGCACAGTTCCTCCGTCTCGACCCTACTACCTTCCCTCTCCAGCTCAACAAAGCCGCTCTCGAGTCCTCGCGTCCCTTCCATCTTCAGTTGCCTCCGCCGGCATACAATATGGCANAAAACATCTGCAGCTCGTGTCCTGACAAGATGTCCCGCATGGTTGCACACTACTTCAATTCCATTATTGCCGACCTCTCGGATGGTAACGACGGTTCAAGTTCAAGAAAGTCTACGTCTCGAAGACGACCTGGCGCAGACGACGAGGACGACGAGGAGGATGACAACAATCGTGACACTCAGCCTGCAGGTCCGTCCGCAGATGAGCTCAAGTCATTGGAGAAGGCCCACAGGCTGTTGCGCGAGCTCTGGAGGTCTGCCGCACTGGTCATCCAGAACATTGTTCCACAAATTGAATCCGAACTCGGTGCTGAGAACGTGGATATAAGATTCCTGGCCACCGAGACCGTTGGTGATTTGATTTCTGGCATCGGCGCAGCAGGACCTCCCGCTCCAGTCGCGCTCGATCCTGCAGCCTACCCTTCGCAAAGCATTGATCCACCTTCAGCCTATTCTAGAACATACAACTTCCTCACCACTCCAGCCGCTCCTCACGCCTTTTCTTCGGTCCACGCCTCTACATACCAAGGCTTCCTCAATCGTCGCAATGACAAATCCGCTCGAGTTCGTTCTATTTGGGTGACTTGTGCGGGTCGCATTCTGGCCACTTCTGCTGGTGGCGTTGGCCTTGACCCAAATGAGGAGAGTGCTCTGCTCAGATACATCTCCGACATGCTTGTTGATACCGATGAGCATGTCCGCCTTGCTGCTGTCCAGGCTATCGGTCGCTGTGATTTCGAGACCATTGTGCAACGCATCGGTTCAAGCGGCAGTGTCACTACTCCTGATTCTGTACTATCAAACCTGGCCGACAGAATCAAAGACCGCAAGCATAGCGTCCGTGCTGAGGCCATGTCTCTACTTGGGCGCATCTGGGGTGTCGCTGCAGGTGCTATCACTGAAGGAAACGACAGAGTTCGCATGCTTCTTGGTGCAATTCCTTCGCGCATCTTTGACGCCATCTACATCAACGACCGCGAGATCACCGCACTGGTGCAACAAGTCCTTTACGATTCACTACTGCCGTTAAGCTACCCTCCTATCAAGGCCAAACCCACGTCCAACGGTGATTCACAACGTGTCAGGGACAGCCAAGTACCGGCTTCGCAAATCGAAAAAACACCTACCCCAGACGCCATTCGTGCTGAGCGAATCTTGGTTTTGGTTCGGGACCTCGAGCAGAAGGCAAAGACGGTGTTCTTCACGTTCCAGGCTAGACAAGCTAAAAGGGCGCAATATCTGGAAGCGTTCCTCAAACGTTGCGAAGATCACAATGGAGGTGTCAACGCAAAGAACGGCAAAGAAGGGAGTGGCTCACTGTCAAAATTGATCGAATTTTTTGCGCGAGAACGTCCCGAACCTCTTGTGGCCAACGAACATCTCTGGAAGTTTGCTAAAAAGCACGATAGGAGGTGCTACCAGCTTATTCGATTCGCAGTCAATCCTGACAGCGAGTACAAGAAGGTCGTCAATGCCATCAAAGAACTGACAAAACGCGTCGAAGAACAACCTGGTCATCTACCTGCGATTTTGACAACCATTCTTCCTATAATTCACCAAGCCAGTGTATTGGTCTACAGCAAGAGTCATGTCCCTACAATTGTTGACGTTTCACGTACTGAGGACAAAGGTCTTGGTCCGGCTGCACACGAAGTACTCAGAGAGATTTCGACTCACAATCCTGAGGTCTTCAAAGCGCATGTCCGCAGTTTGTGCACCACGCTCCAAGAGCAAGTACCATCGAAAGATAGGCCAACCGATTCTGGAGTTGTCGAAACTCTGAAAGCGTGTGCAGGCTTTGCGCAGAGGTTTCCTCAGGAAATTCCTCGCGAGCGTGCCTTTNTGCAAGCTATGGTCCAATTCGCCCTTCACGGAAACCCGCCAATAGCCGCAAAGCATGCGGTTTCTGTCATTGTTGCTGCAGACGAGAAAAAGGACATGTACGTCAAAGACATTGTCACCAAGTGTGTGCAAGGCTTTGAGTATGGTGAAGACGGTTACCTCTCGAAACTGGCGGCACTCAGTCAACTTATGCTCCTGTCCGCTAAAGACACAGAAGATGAACATGATAATATCTTGGAAATCGCTATTCAGAAGGTGCTTCTTCAAGTACGAACAGAAGCCAAGCCAGACGACGTCGAATGGCAAGAAGAACCAGACGATGAGTGTGAAGCCAAGATTTGGGCGCTCAAGATTCTAGCGAACCGACTCAGGTCTTTTGCTGTGTCTATACCCGACAATGAGATGGAAGCTGTGGTTACAGAACATGCACTTCCAGTGTTCAAGTTGTTGCACCGAATCATTGACAAGGACGGAGAGTTATCCAAGACCCAAGACGAGACTCCCAAGCCTCACCGGGCACGCCTTCGATTGAATGCCGCTATTTTGCTGCTCAAGCTGTGCAGCGCACACAAACGATTTGATGCATTACTGGAGCCCAAGAACTTCAACCGCCTCATCGTCATAGCTCAAGATCCTTTGCCTGAGGTCCGCTCTGCTTTCGTCGATGCCATCAAGAAGTATCTCGGCCAAGGTAGACTGCCCCATCGCTTCTACACTCTGGTGTTTGTCTATGCTTTCGAGCCAAATGCACCCATCAAGAACGCCGCCTCAACATGGCTCAAGGGACGCGCTGCAGCATTTGCCAAATCAAATGAGACTGTAATGGAGACCAGCTTCGCGCGCTTCATCAGCGTTCTCGCTCATCACCCAGATTTCTCAACGGAGACAGATCACTTGCAGGACTTTATTGACTACATGATGTTCTATCTGAAGGCCGTTGCTACGCCAGCGAACATTACTCTGATATACCATGTTGCTCAGAGGATGAAGTCTGTTCGGGACGGCATTGATGAGCAAAAGAGTGACAACCTTTACTGCCTGTCCGACATCGCGCAAGCTGTCATCCGTAGATACCAGGAGCTACAAGGCTGGTCACTACCAGTATGGTCTGGCAAAGCCCGTCTTCCTGCCGGTCTCTTTGCATCTCTGCCCAACCATGCAGTAGCGCAAGAGATAGCTGACAAGCAATATGTGCCGGAAGCGCTGATGGACAAGATTGAAGATCTGGTCAGAGATCGTCTGCGTACCAAGAAGCGCAAGTCCGAGAGTACAATCAGTCAAGCCAAGAAGCGTGCCAGAGCAAGTGAGGGTAGGTCTTCCAAGGCCACGATGAGCAAGAAAGCCAAGAGCGTCAAGACGCCTAAGAAGAGGAGAGCCTCCAACGCGGCGGCCTCTGCGCCAGCGAGCGAGATTCGCCGCAGCTCGCGCAAGTCTGGAGCGAAGAGCTACCTCGAGCAGAGCGACAGTGATGAAGAAGCCAATGGACTCGACGACGCCGACGAAGACGACAGCAACGACGAAGAAAGCGATGCCGAAGACCAAGAGATGGATGATGTAGAAGAGCAGGAGGCAGAACAGCCAGAACAAGCAGAAGCTGGAAGCGACGAAGCAGAAGAAGCAGAAGAAGCAGTCGAGCCTGAAGAAGAGGCTGAAGTACCCGCTCCACAGCCAGTACCACAGTCAAGACGCTCGGGTCGTGCTGCTCCCAAAGGCAAGAAAGCGACTCCAGCGCCTGCTCCCAAGAGATCGAGCCGAAGAGAGAAGAATGGCGCTGCTAGTGACTCGGAGTTGAGCGATGCACTGTCAGACATGGAGTAGTGAGATCAAGTTGCATGGCTTCCCCCCCCCCCCCCCCCCCCCCCCCCCCCCCAATCATTGTCTTTGCTGAAACATCAATATTGCTTTCTCACTTGCAGCCTTAGCGGCAGGCGTTTTTTCTTCTCAAAGCATGTTTCAATCTGTTCTTATCATCATGTATAGCAAATCAGTATCCAAGCACAGAATCAAATCACACGTAAAACTACCTTCGTATCAAGTCTCGCGCAACATCATGCATACAATCTAAAGTGATCACAATAAAGAGCCAGTGGGATATAACCGTGATTAAATATTGTAAATCTGATAAGTGGGTATCTAGTCTTTTTCGACAAAACAATAAAACAAAGTCGTTATAGTATTACAAGAGAGTCCTTTTGGTTATCCAAATCTAAACAGACTGTCTATGGGACGCGCTTGACTTGACAGAAGCGCCGGCCATTGAGTTGTTTCTGCTGGGGCCGTAAATGGCCGAGGATCTTCTTCCACCATTCTCCTCACGAGCAGAAGACAGCTGCTGAGCGAAAGGAGAACGCTTGCGAAGAACAGGTCCCTTCCAGTAAATGACGTAGACTGAAACGACGAGGAGGAGGGCAATGCAAGCCAGGATGGTCGAAGCATATTCCAGGTGGTGTTCACCACCGATGTTGGTGTAGAAAGGGGTGGCGGGTACAGTCAGTACACCAGCAAGGAAGTCGCGAGACCATCCGTTACCACCGGTGGCAGAGGCTGAGTAAGGGCCGTAGGCGCAGATCATGTAATCAATGGTGGCCATGTAAATCGAGTAGTTGGCGATACCGATGACTGCACTAAAGATCATGGAGCCGATCCAGTGAATTGGAGGCCCTCCACTGGTCCATGCGAAGCCAATCAGACCGATGGGAAGGCAGGGTACAGTAAAGAGCAGCCACCAGAGACGCGATTCGTACTGGGCGTGTTCGTCGTTGGGGTTTTCGCGACGCTGCCTCTTGTTACGGGCGATGGCGGGGAAGAATGAGAACCATGCGATAAAGTATCCGATGAGAAGAGGCAGGAAAGCAAGACCGACCTGGTAGGCAGAGAAGCCCCACTGGTCGTACACGAGAGCGTACGACTGCAGGAACATGAAGATCAAAGCGTCACTGAAACCAGAGAGAAGAGAGAGGGTGAGGACGATGGGCTCAGTCAGGAACATCTTGAAAGGTCGGATCCAGGTCTGAATGATCTCCTTTGCGGAGAAGCGGTCCTTCCAGGGAATCAGTTCAGTGGGACCGTAGACGTTGGTCTCACCAGCCTTGCGACGTCTCTTGGCGATCTTGTTCACCATGATACTGGTTCTAGTCTCGGGGACGAGGAAGAAGTGAAGAGCTTGGACGAATCCACCGAAGATCAGTTGGATCCAAATGTTCCATCGNCCTAGAATGTATTAGTGGACGGGACACGTTGCGTTTCATAAACATAGAACATACCATGCAGCGTATTGTTCGACGAATCCACCAACGACGGGTCCAAGAACGGAGCCACCGACAGAAGAGAAGACGATGAAAGCGACAGCGTACTGCTGCTCGTCGGGCTCCCACATATCGGCGACCATACCGAGAGTGACTGAACCACCGGCAGAAGACAAACCGCCAAGGGCACGACCAGCCATGACGGTTCCAAAGTTGTGTGCGAGAGCGACAGGAAGCTGCCAGATGTTGACAAGGAACAAACTGAGCTGAAGGATAGGCCATCTTCCAAGCTCCTCAGACCAGGGTGCCCAAAGTTCACAACCAAAGGCATAGAGGACAAGGAAGATCATGGCACCACAACGAGCAGCCTGAGCACTGATGTTGAACTCTTCGGTCATTCCAGTAATGGCGTTGCTGTAAAGACTAGTGTTGAAGTTCATCGAGACCTGAACAATGAAGATGACACTGAGGATCATCCACTTCTTCCAGGTAGGAAAGCAGAACCCAAGCTCTTCGTAGCAGTCATCTTCTGTCAAGATGATCTTGTCGGTGCCGTCAAATCCATTGCCCGTCTCCTTTTTGCGAGTTGGTACTTCGGAATTGTCGACTCTGCGTTCGATCGAGGGTTCCGACGAGTCGGGGTTCTCGACCTTTTCGTTCTCGAACATGCCGGACATGTCGAGGGTTGTGCGGTTAATAGTAAGATATAATAGTTGTGACTGAGACACCACCTGCGACGGCAACGGTGGTACAAATGGGTCTGACGGTCAAATGAAGCCCGTCAGAGGAATACTGGGGAGACTGGGGGAGGGGAAATATACTGGGGAAGGTACGCAGGGGACGATCTTGCTGACTTTATATGGCCGTTTGAATTTCACGCGGAAGGAGCATGATGTCACTCAGCAGGTGGATTTGGCGTCGATGGATTTGCAGATCTTACTGTGAGCCAGTGAGCCGCTCACAAACCAGAAAACCCTGCCTCCAACTTGGACGTGATCCGGTGACCGAGGACCCACATGGCTTTAGTTTGAGTGCTTTGGCACAGAATATAGAAGCCCTGATGCGCAAGAACAGATCAATCTGTGGACGTGAGTTCGTTGCTGGACAGACAAACCTCTTTCGAATGGATTACTACGATATGTTCTATACACCTTAGACTTCCAGAACTCACAAGGCCATGACGACGCACAAAATCAACAATCATAGGGGATATTTCCGTTACCGCTCGTTCCTTCATTCGACGTTACATGCTACATCCGAAAAATAGGATCGCATGGCTGTACGAAAAAGCGTCATCGCGCCAAGCGTATCAAAGACGCCTTGTCCGCGGTTGGCTTGCGCACAAGCATCTTCATTGGTGGTGGCGCCAACCTCCACCTTGATATCATTCGACATCCCACTTCTTGAAGAATTCAGGAGCCGGTGACACGCGACAGGTGATAGATGCCTGAACAGCGTCTTCGTATGTATGCTATGTAGTCGCTAACAACCAACAACAAGGCCAGTATTTGTACCTGAGGCAACCCCAATGACAGCGTGGCTTCACCACCACTCAACCCTGAATCGTCTTTAGCCGGGAGCTGGTGAGGGGATATCTACAACTCCACCACCCAGCACCACTTTTTTCTTTGGAGCAACCTTGGGGTCTCCGAATAATTATCTGGCACACCCCGATATTGATGGTTCTCTTCGGCCCGATTCTGTTTGACAAGGTCACAGTCCCGTGGCCGTCAGAACCGATCGAACGGCAAAAGATACGGTATCGCCATATTCGGCTTTCGGCCGACGCTTTGACAGCTTCGACCGCGCGGAACGAGCTGATGCCAGAAACGCTTACTCGGGGTATCGCCTTCGTTATGTTGATCTGTCGACCAGTGGATCTATAACTGACTTTTTATGTTTGTGTCCTTGGTTCCTGAATGTCTACAAGCTTCATGTCTTGACCCACCAAGTCACCAAGACACTTGGCAGGAATTGTAGAAGGGGTGTCCAAAAGCTTGCTCGTACGAACTTCAAGAGACCCTACACCGACACGAAAAGCGATATATGAGTGTTAAGGTTTACACTGAGCGTTCTGCAAGGAAGAGACTGGGATGAAGAATGAACATTGCATGTTGACCAGGGCACACTGAAGCAGCAGTTGAAAATTACATTTGTATACAGGGGTATCGGTGAGTGATTGAGAAGTGTTGCTTAGTTAAGAAAAGACAAGACGTCTGGTCTTAGATGGCCCACTCGTTCTTGTTATCGTTGGCAGTGACGAAGGGCTCGTCAATGCGTTTGACAGCCATCTCGCTANNCAAAGCACACTTATGCTATGTTAGCAAACTGCTCAATGGCTAGTAGAATCTGACTTACCAAGCGCCTGCAACTAGTGCATCCAACTCCTTGACCATGCGTTCTCGTTTCTTCCCCGTGACAACAGCTCTTCCGACCTCAGTTTGCAACTCCTTGATGCGCTTGCTCTTGCCAATCCCGACACTCTGAAGCACCATCTTGCCCAGGCAATCGGCATGGAAAGAGTGCTGGCAAGGGAACACGAAGAACTGGCGCATCAATAGGGGAAGCCTGCAGCTCCAGCACTTCTCGCCAGGTTCAACGATAGCATATCTCTGGTCAAGGGACTTGATGTCTTCCTTGATGTGTTGCGCGGTGTTGGCACTCTCATCCATCTCCCGCTTCAATCCCTCAATTTGTCGTGAATATTCCTCAAGAGCAGCGCAGATTTCTTCCTTGAAGTCATCAATGACCACAAAGTCGGGGAAGAAGGGGATCAAGTCTTCGATGCGTAATAACTCGCAGCGCTTGAGGAATTCCATCGCGGCCTTGATGCCTTTGCTCTGGCCAATGACCTTNTTGGCAACCTTTAACCACAACTTCTTGCGCAAGGCAGGATCGTTTCCAGGTCGGTCAGCTACATTCGCTGCTAGATCCATTTCATCATGCTTGAGCGCCATGTCCACAGCTTGAGCATATTGGTTCATGGTACAATAAATATGCACACATGATTGAACGCGCTGGTGGGCAATACAGAGGCGGAGAGCAAAGTCTGCGTCATAGTTCTGCTCATGAGAAGCGCTCTGTGTTTGGAGATATTGGAAGAGTGCAGTCTCGTCTTGAGTGGGATGCGCAGCATATATCGAAACCACGGTGTTGTGAACTGCAGTTTCTGTCGAATGGCGTTGGTTGATGCAGAATTGGAGATAGCGAACGGCTTGATTCNNTAGTAATCTGGTCAGCAGGAGTCTTCAAGTTGTGTATCTTGTATTGCTCACTTGATTTAATGGGACGTCTGCCGTCTTGTTGTAGTTGAGGAGAGCCGGTATAAGTTTCTTAGCTTCCAAATTGTTTTGTCGCATCATGACTTCTACAAGCTCAACGGCAACATGTGTCATGAGAACACTGCTGTACTGGTAGAAGATCTCAGGATCAGTCTGCTTCTTCAGGACTGACATTGCCTCCTGCCATCGTTCTCTTTGCACCCAGTAGGATAGAACATAGTTATAATCGTCGATGACGTTGGCGAAGTAAAGCAACTCTTCTTCTCGGCCATGACTACTGATCAATTCATAAGTCGTCTTTCTGTCCAGGTCAGACTTGTACTTGGAGACGAATTCTTGGAACTCGCGACGCATCGAGGGAAGATCTTCTTCTACGTTGGCAATGGGAGCTGCGTCAGAGAGCTCCGCTTTGGCCGAGATTGTATCGTCTAGGAGGTTAAGTTTGGCCATGAACAGCTCGACCAGCCAACTAGCAACCATGATCCTTTGCATTGTTGAGGATCTCTTGAGGACAGAGAGTTTTGTCAAGAGGTATCTCCTCAAAGCATCTTGCTCTCCTTGATCGATAAAAGTAAGAGCGACCTCCTCAAATGGTTTCGTGCTTCTGCCATAGACAGTCGCAGCTTCCGAAAAGCGGCCTCGAGAGACAAGATGATCTCCAGACGCGGTAGCTACGGCATCCTTTTGTGCTGCAGTTTTAGCGTAGCGTGATGCCGCGTCGAACTGCTCGTTCCGGAGCATTATCTTCCACACGTCTCTGGCTTCATCTGTGACAACAACTTCGAAGATCTCGCGCTGAGTGAAAAGCCAGTAGGTGTTCTTCTTGTGGTCCGTATACAGGCCGAGGGGTGCATTGCCAGGTTCCAAAACAAGCTGGTCATAGACCAGACTACCATCAAGTCTGTTGATTGCGACTACACGACCTTCAATCAGATGGAGGATGTGGAACTGTGTTAGAGAAATAGACGATACAGCTTCCAAGGAGGGCTTGTTTCGGCCTCCAGAAGTCTGAGAAGGAGGAATGACCGATTTTGGCAACAATTTTGCTGCCGAGAACGGACTCGATTCTGCGCTCGAAACTAAAGCAGCAAAGTCTCCATGCAATACACCCTGGGAGTTTAGCCAGGCAAAGACGTTCTCCTGGGCAGACTCTGCCAGAGATGCATCTGCCGGTTCCGAGATAGTGACCAAAGTGGAGGGACCTGAAGTTGCATCTTTTAGGTGGTGGACCACAGGCGTCTCCCGCTCGAGAAGCCTGGGATAGATCGAACCGCTGTCTTGACGGCCACCTTTCCCAACGAAGAGTAACAATCTTGTAGGTGTGGCTACTAGGACGCTGCGCGCATCTGAGGAGATGTCGACGGACAGACCGACGACGGGACCATCCTGAACATTGTATAGAGTCTTCAAGTATTTCTCCTCTCTTCTGTAGAACTCTGTGCTGGGCTCAATGTATGTTTCGTAAATGTTGCCGTCGGAAGCGCCGATCAGGATCTCTCTGGTCGAGGCGGTCGGCTGTGAGGGGTTCCAAGCAATTGATTCAATCTGAACACCTTTTAAACGAGCCAATGGCTTTGGTGTTCGTGATTGGGTGTGCAGATAGTAGTTCTCCCCTTGGGTGGTCGAAACAACAAGATGGGAGGCCGAGGGGTCGAGGAACAGACGTCGAATGACACCAATCTCGGAGGGTTTCTTGGGCAGATCGATGTCGTCGATGTCCTCAGGGCTGTCGAGATCAAAACGCAGGATACGGCCGGTAGAGAGGGCAAGGATTAGAACGTTATTGGCGACTTGGGCAGCGACGAAGTCGGAGGATATATCGAAGCGGAGCTGCACTCGCTGGACGTCGAAGACGGGTAGTGAGGGNTCAAAGGCGTCCGGGACATTGCTGGCGGCAGCAGCATAGCCGCCTGAAGGGTCGTAGGCCATGGAATCGGAGTCGGACTATGATTGTATCATTGCGTAGTCAAAGTCATCAACGTAGATGGTATAGAGCCATGTCATCGGGCGTTGGTTGATTGATGCTTGGCGCGCTCACGCACGTCGCGTCTTCCAGGCCTGAGAGCTCGACAGCTTCGACCTGATCCCTTCTACACATCAACCCACATCACAATGTTCGCCGCCCGTTCCATCCCTCGCGCCCTCAATGGCGCCCGCGCCTTCTCCACCTCGCCCGCCCACTCGCTGGCCCGCATGCAACTCATTGGCCGTCTCGCCGACCAGCCCGAGCTCACTCCCACATCCACCGGCCGCGAGATGGTGCGGTACGCCCTCGGTGTCAAGGGCGGTCCCAAGAATGAGAACGGCGAGAGACAGACCAGCTGGTTCAGAGTCGCCAGTTTCGCCGATGGCCCTGGCAGAGATCTGCTCCTGAGCCTGCCCAAGGNNGGTGAAACTCCAACACTCCCGAGTCAACCTGATCCTCTCTGATACTGATGCTCATCCAGTACCCTCATGTATCTCGAAGCCGATGCTCGTATGGACTCCTTCCAAGCCCAGGATGGCTCCAACCAGACCCGTCTCAACCTCGTTCAGCGTAAGACAAGTCTCGGTCCGCTCTAAGACTCGTACAATGGATTGACCCAGCACCCAGGCAACTTCGAGGCTCTCAGCCGTCCCCAGAACCGCTCCGACTCCGACAGAAGTGCCGCCGAGGAGCCCAGCAGTGGCCTTGGTGCATCCTAGATTGTGAATAACTTTTAAAAATGGGTGAGAATATGACAATTGTCTGTACAGCATCGATATTGCACAGATTTCAGGCACGTTAAACCTACCTGGTTTGAGTAGGCTATACATGTAAAATATTACCGTCTTCTCCTTAGACTGACCACCCGACGCTGCCATGTGCCTTGTATCTATGCATTGTTCTATACCCCTGAGGACTATTGCACTCTGGAAGGATTGTGAAACAGAAAAGAATGCCGAGGTCAGGGCAGACTTGGGCTTCACTATCTCGGGTGTGAAAGACATAAGTGTGTTGGGTCCGACGCAACGACTGAGCTCAAATTCACACCTCTGCGGAAGGCGCGTTGTGGCATGCCTTCGAGTCAATTTTAAGGAAGGCGCGCGCCATCAACCACTCTCAGGCAACCACGGTCCGCACAAGCATTCTTACATCCATCTTCTACTTNNCTTGCGCGCTGCACTTGTGTGTGACAAGCCCAACTCTCTGGAGCTTCCACATCTTCTACACAAAGCGACCTCACAACCACCATCTTCATCAATCCATCAGCTTCGTCAACCATTAATCCTCATANNTCAATCCGCCAAACAACATCACCGCCAACCATGTGCAACACAGTCACGATACACTACTCTTGCAACCACTTTGCTCAATTCCACCGCTCGACCTGCCGCAGCACCATCTGGGTCACAAGGACATGCAGCAAGACCAAGAACAGTTCTAGAAGCAGACTCGACAACAAAGACAGCGATGCCGAAACACCAGACAGAGGCAGAACACTGGAACGAAGACCCAGCAAGACAAGCCCATCTCCATCTCCATCACCGTCAAGCAGCCAAAGTCGATCCCATTCGCCAGCACCAAAGCTCGTCACCAAGGCAGCCTGCAAGAGCCTGTCAGTCATTGTTCTCCGCACCCAACAACGATGCGGTCCTTGCCAGCGCACCTTCAAACGAGGGTTCCTCCAAATCAGAAGAGCACGACAGGATTTGCCAGCGCGCAAGAAGCGAAAGCATCTCAAGAGGGGCAGACCAATCTCTGGAGGCAGTCCGCTCAAACACGAACTTACGGTAGAGGATTTGTTGAGAGCAGAAGACGAGATTGCGACTGATTTGGACTGTGCGGGAACGGTGAGCTATGTCGTTATCTTTGAGACGCAGGAGAGCTCATNNGAGCTGATGTATGTATTGATGCAGATGAACTCGACTACGCAGACCGTCAACGGCATCGCACGACTACTCCATCTCGAGCCCGCACGCTTCTGGAGATGCTGGAGACGCTTCGATGGTGTCGGACGTCGCTACGTGGACTTGATCAAAGGTTGAGCGAGCAGGATCACAACAGTCGGGTGATCATCATGAAGGATCAGCTGCTCATCACGCCCTTACTGAACTTGAATTCGATCCAAAAACAGTCTCCGCATGCATGTTTGCTCCGGCATATTGAGAAGCAACCGCAAAACTAGAATGTCTTGTTGGTGGCCATCTCTCCTTATTTTGTCCGCACGGTAATAGAAAGCGTCGTCTCCCTACCATTCATACTCAATCACCGCAGAGGCTAAATCTGAGCCTCGCAAAGAAATCAATAACATACTCATAAACAAAGCATTAGAAAGACTGTTTTTTCTATCATTGAGCCCCAAGTTAATAACACCACAACATTACAAGAGAGTTTTACAAAGTCAGAATCAAGACAGTCACGAGAAGATGGTATATCAGAAAGTACACAGGAAGCAATCTCCAGTCACGGTTTTTTCGATCAATCATGCAGTCTATCGTTTGGAAAGCAGTAATCAGTTTTTGATGTGAGCTCGGACTCTGCTCTGCCTCGCCTTGTGCAGATCTCTTTTGCTAATTGTACATTGCTCATGGTTCCTTCGGCAGCATTTGCCCCTTCTTCCTTGCTTTTGAAAAGAGTCTCTGATCGATCTCGAAGTCAATCTCGCTCAAACCTCAGCATCATCTTCAGAGTCGGGAGACTCCAGGTAAGCGCTCATGGCAGCAACAACCTCCTGGTCAACATAGTCATCAGCATCCTCAGGGTGGCTGACCTCGCCATCATCACTCTCGGCATACTGCACACTCTCCTTTCCACGACGAGCGAGCTTCTGGCTGGGACTTTCCTCCTCATCAACGGGTTCGTCCTTGACCTTGACGCACAATTCTGCAATCTCCTTTTCCATATCGTTGTCAGGGTCTTTCTCAGCAGCGATGTTCTTTCTGCGCTTGGCGGGTGTCTTTGTGGGAGGGGCTTCGTCATCCGAGACCTCAGAATCGGAGGTGATGTTTGCCTTTCTGCGTTTGGCGGGAGTTTTTGTGGCGGGTGTCTTTCTCTTTCTGGCGATTGCGGTGGCTGGGGTGGTAGGGACAGAGGCGCCGCCGTTGGTGAAGACTTTGCTGTTCTTGCGGATCTTGGAGAAGTGTTCGGTGAAGGCCTTTCTGGTGGGTGGGGGNCCAAAGGCAGCGGCTGAGATGGATTTAGTCGAGATTTCAGTGGTGATGTGTGAAGGGCTGAGATGAAATCGTGTAGGTGAAACACGAGTATAAAGTTGTAGTTGGAGTGAAGGAGATGCAGAAGAGTGACAAGGAAGGAGAGTGATGAGATGTAGAAAGAAGGCACGATGATAGAAGGAAGGCAGCCTGTAGGGTGGGTCAAAGTGTNNGAGGAAAGGGAGAGGATACTTACGCCAGACAGTGATCATGGCGTCGAGAACATCGGTGGAGATCTTGATGTTCTTGTCTTCGAGAATGTGGGTCAGGATGAACTGATCTTTCTCACTGCTCCACTTGACAACCATTTTGCTGATGTTCTTGTTGTGTATTTGAGATGGAAGGAGTAAGAAGTAAGATGCGCGTCGATGGAGAGATCGCGTGAAGTTGACGTGTTGGTGTGGACGTGTCTTGGGACAAGAAGTGTTGATGTGGATGATTTAAGACAAGAAGTGTCGATGGAGTAGGATGGAAGTGGAAGAAGAGTTGGAGGTTGGAGGAGAGTGGAGCAGATTTGAAGGAGGGATTGAGGAGGCAGAAAGAAGAGTGTGAGCAGAGGGGAAAAGCAGGTGAGCAGAGAGATTGAGTCGAGTTGGAACAGAGTGAAAGGTACAGTGCAAGAGTCGAACCGTCGAATCCGATCGCCTATAAGTGAAGCAGAGTTAACTTGGAGACGCAATGGAGAGACAGATAGACGTGCAAGTCAGCTCTGAGTCGAACTTGGTACCCAGGTGTGAATCACTAGCGAGAAGTTCGATGTGATGATTAAAGTTACAACAAGAACTTGTCTCTCTAAAGTACGAACAACAATAACTATCTTGGATGTTCATCTATCATTCCTTCGTGTGGCATGCTATGTACGAATCAAGAGGATTGAGGGGTACGATCGGTAGGGAATAAAGTAAAGTTGAGGAAATGGTATCACAAAAACAAAAATCAAACGCCCATGAAGCAATGATGCATATCCCTGATCGAAGAGTCTTGTTGGTATCGCCGAGTGCGCGACCTACAGTTGTTCCTCCTCCTCGCCTTCCTCTGCAATGCGTGTGGTCAAGTAAGCTGCGACAAGTGCGGCCAGACCGCCAAATCTCAAGACCCAAGCAACACTGTCATCGCCAGGCGTGCCACGGGGCTTTTGCAGAAGTTTGAAGATGGCACTTGACACGAGCGTCGCAATGACTTGAGGTGCAGCGATAGCGACGTTGTGGATACCCAGAATGACTCCAGCCTGGTCCGCACCCTGAGCAGGGTCGTCACCGTTGGCCAGAGCCTGACCCTCAGCAGTGGCTGGGGCAGGCATCTCATTACGACGGATGGCCTCTCGCTTGGAGATTTCGGCAGCGATGAGGGCAAAAGGGGCCCAATTACTCAATGCCCATGGGATTCCGATGAAAGCAACGAGCACAGTAGCGGTGGTCGTGTCGTGAACGAAGAAGGTCAGGAAAGTAGCACCAGCAAACAACAAGTGCGAGAGGATCCAAGCGCGGCGAAGTGTAAAAGCACTCATCTGTACAGACGGCATGCGATTTTTGATCCGCTCCCAACGGTTGGGCTCTACCAGATTGAGCTTGCTTGTAGAGTGTTGTGGGGTGTACGCGAAGTAATCGCTGCCGGTCATGGAGCGAGGTGTAGTAGGGGTAAAGGCGCGAGGAGTAAGCGGAGTATGAGGTTGGGGCGACGGAGGCTCGAAACCTGGAGCAATCAACAAGGGCAGGACAACTGCAGCAGCCAGGTTGGTAAAGGCAAAGATCAACAGCGCAAAGGTGCCGATACGAGTTGCGCGCTCCCAGGTGGCATCGATCTCCTTGGGCGACATGTGCGGGTTCTCGGTGAAGTATGGCTCAACATAGATCTCGCCAATGTAGGTGGTGATGTAGAACAGGAAGGGGAACCAGCCGATCCAGGCAAAGAACTGAACGGCACAGACCTTTCTGACTTGCGGGGGCAGACGCTTCATAGAGCGATAGAGCTCGACAAAGAAAGACAAGACACCTCCTTTCTGGGGTGGTGGGGTTCCCTCGAGCCTAGGATCCCGTTCCTGGATGGTCATACATGATATGCCGACCGTGATTGTCATGGCCAGAACAGCAATGACACAGAGGACCTTGAACTGCGTATTTCCGAAGAAGCCAAGGTACTTGGGCAAGTTTACGTATCCAGAGAGATAGCCCAGGATGTTGCCGAAGCCAGACATGCGTGAAGCCCATGCATTGGCATCGTTTTGCTGGTGAGTCGGTGCATTGTCTACTATGAAGGCGCGAATGGCAGCTTGGACTGTNGAGATTATGATTAGCTAGATGTTCCAGAGCGATAAGAACCAAGACATACTGGTGTTGATGGAAAAGTCAAGAATATAGATAAAGCTCACTGCCCAGACGATCGAAATGACGTGGACAGTCTGGGACTCTGCGCCGACTTTGAAGAGCGCAAAGAAGTTTCGCACAATCTCCTTGGTCCATGCCAGCAGAACGAGAGAGATGATAGTCGCGAGAGCACCTCCAACAATGAATGGCCTTCTCTTTCCCCACGGCGAGCGACATCTGTCGCTCTTGATGCCGACGTAAGGCTGGACCAGTGTACCAGACAACGGACCGGCGATCCAGACGAACGCGAGAAGAGACTTGCTAATGCCCAAGCTGAGTAGGTACGGCNNTATCAAGAAGTCAGTCATGAAGCACAGTAAGCGGGGTATTGCTAAACTCACCGAGCCGTTGGAGAGCTCAACAGACCAGGCGATCTGGAGGCCACCGATTGACAGAGTCAAAAGAATCAGGTACCATTGACTCTTGGTCTCCTCGGTGTGAATGTCGTTCCAGTTATCCGAGTCCTCAGGAGAGGGCATGGACGAGATTGTGAGAGCAGACTCGAGACTTTCACGTCTCGGTGCTATCAGGGGAGAGGTTTCATCCTGGTCCTCCTGCTCTTTCTGTATGTCCAAGGAAGGGCTTCCTCTGGCATCGTACGAGTCGCGATGGTAGGAGGCATTTTTGAGAATGCCTCTCGGACGAGGCGAGGCGAGAGGTCTGTTGTTCGACATGGGTCGACGGAGGCGGTCAAGGGTGGTAATGCGTGTTGATGTTTATCAGATTGCGGGGTCCTTATTCACATGCGCTCTAGGTAGGTGGACAAAGGCTCGTGTCGGATTGCTTTGGCTTGTCGCGGAGGACAAAGGTGTCGCAGGGCAGTGACGACTAATAGGCAAGAAAGTCGGCAGCAAACAGCATGACTCTCGTCGCAGGAAGATGATCACGAGTGCAGGTGGGTGAGCAAGTTGGTAGGGAGGGTCGAATGATAGCGGGAGAGTTGGCTAGCGTCTCCCGGCGGTGTCAGGAAAGACTTTCGGGCAAGACTTGGCTTGTCCAGGGGTCACAGCCCATACAGTCGTTTATGTACTCGTACAGAAGACTGGCGGCTCAACAGGCATGTGCCTTGTCCCACCACGGCCACGTCTTCTGTGGTAAGCGTGACGTATCTCTAGACTCAGGATTCATGGTTTTGAGCGACAGGGTCACTGCTGGAGAGATGGGCGCCAGATCAGCAGCGGGCCGAAACAACCTTCGTGTGGAGACGTGACGCGCGACGCTCTCCCGTCTCATCGTCCATCGTCCGTGCTCCGACTTGTTCCAGAGTGGAAGCTGTGCTGCGCTGTGCTGTGCCAGGCAGAAAGGGACGCTGCCTTTTAGATACTCCATCGCCACAACCCACGCTGTGCTGTCGGGTTCTCTTACTAGCTCTTTGCACCCAAGTGCAAGTCGACCGTGCCTAGCCACTTGGACGTTCGTATATGCGTATGCGATAACAATTTCCTCAAGGCAGTTGACCTGCCCCCACCACCCTATACGACACCATGGCTTCCATCTTGCGCGACACCGTCTTTGAGCTTCTCAGTACGCCCGTCTACTCCTCTTGAATGGCCAGATCGTATGCTGACAACGACACTACAGAACGCGAGGCTGCAGACGCCGACCCAGATGGTATCCCTCCTTCCACCACCCGCTCCACCACCCCAGACAACTGACACGACGCGACAGAGCCCGAGGCCGGCCAGAAAGAAATCTTTGCATCATGGTCACTCTTCATTCTGATCATGCTGCTCATTGTCGCCCTGTTCACCAGTTACATGCTGCAGACAAGGAAGATCCAGGCCGTACACGAGACCGTCTTGTCCATCTTTGCAGGTACTCTCTCCCACATCACCCCATGTCAACATACCGTCCGCTAAGAATCTTCTANNGGAATGGTCATTGGCTTGATCCTCCGTCTCACCGCTGCCCAATCTGTACTCGGCGCCGTCAGCTTCGACTACCAATTCTTCTTCAATCTCCTTCTACCACCCATCATCTTGGCCTCAGGCTACGAACTACACCAAGGGAACTTCTTCCGCAACATTGGAACCATTCTTACCTTTGCCTTCGCTGGCACCTTCATCTCCGCCATGGTCCTGGGCCTCATCCTCTACGTATGGACACGAATCCCTCTTGAGGGCTTGGACATTACCTTTGTCGAGGCCATCTCCGTCGGCGCAACCCTCTCCGCTACCGATCCTGTCACCATTCTTGCCATCTTCAACACCTACAAAGTCGACCCACAGCTCTACACTGTCATCTTTGGAGAATCCATCCTCAATGACGCTATCGCCATTGTGCTGTTTGAGACTGCTCAAAAGTACAGGGAAGGCGCTGCCAAAGGCCATTTGACCATCTTGAGTCTGTTCGAGAGTATCGGTGTCTTCTTACTCGTCTTCTTTGGCAGTTTGATGATTGGCTTGGTCGTCGGCATCGGCACGAGTCTGCTGCTCAAGTATACACTGGTCAGGCGTTTCCCCAAGATTGAGAGCTGTCTCGTCGTTCTCATCGCGTATGCATGCTACTTCTTCTCCAACGCCATCCACATGTCGGGGATCGTGTCTCTCCTGTTCTGCGGAATCTGCATGAAGCACTACGCTTACCACAACATGTCTCGCCGCACTCAGCTTACAACAAAATTCATCTTCCAGGTCATGGCTCAGTTGTCCGAGAACTTTATCTTCATCTACTTGGGTCTTTCCCTGTTCACCGAGGCCGGACTGGAGTACAAGCCTCTGTTTATCCTTGTCACTGTAGTCGGAATCTGCGTCGCTCGGTACTGCGCCGTTTTCCCGCTATCCAAAGCCATCAACTATTTCATCCGGTACAGAGCTCGCAAGCTTGGTCGTGAGGAAGCAGATGTCTTACCCAAGAATCACCAGATGATGCTCTACTGGGCCGGTCTTCGCGGTGCTGTTGGTGTCGCTCTGGCTGCTGGTTTACAAGGTCCCAACGGATTTGCATTACGCGCTACCGTACTGGTTGTGGTAGTCTTGACCGTTATCATCTTTGGTGGCACGACGGCGCGCATGCTGGAGATTCTAGAAATCCGCACTGGAGTTGTAGAGGAGATCGACAGCGATGATGAGTTTGATATCGAAGTGGTTCCAGGATCCAACGGAACATTTACTAAGAAAGGTGGAGCCGGTTTCGGACACATGCCACGCCCAAGTCTGGCTGGAGGTATTTCTCTGGCTAGTGTTGCTAACGGCCGGCCACGTGCAGAGAGCAAATCGAACAGAGCAGCTCTGTACAGCACTAGCAATGCCAGTAGCCCTCCTATCCGTCCCGGCGACGGACTCGGCAGAAGAGCCAGCAGTAGGAGCGCACGAGAGCAAGCCGCGGCTGAACAAGGTCTGCTTTATCCAGACCAGAACGGAGATGTGTCTGACGATGATGAATCAGGGCTCGACTTGCCACCATCAGCTAGACGATCGCCGTTACAAAATACGTTCCCTACAGCGACTGGAGACGATACTCCGTACGCAGATGACAGAGCTATGGAGGCAGGTCAGGCAGAATCAAGCCACCTTACTGCTCGTGGAGCGTTCAGTCAGTTGATGAACGCAACCACAGAAGACGCAGGTACTCTGTTCTCGAGGATCGATGAAGGCTTCATCAAGCCACATCTGTTGTTGGATCCTGGCGGTACAAGGTCTCCCCGTCCACATGGAGGCGCATAGGATGCATAGACTTCATGTGCTTCTGTTGGATTGCCAGCGTGTCTGTAGAATGCATAGCGCGGCAAATTGCCTTTTTATAGATCAATGTACTCATCATGACAACAGGCACATATCCGACTTTGGCCATACAGAGAGATCTCCACGCACACCCTATCCTCCTGGAACCGCTATGAAAAGGCACAGTTCCGTTCCAGCTAGAGATGTTGTCCAGAGAGAGTCTATAGAACCAGGTGATTTCAATGGACACTGCTCTATTCCTCAAAAGTACTGTGCATTTTTGTAGCTGATTATCTTTCTGGTCGTCCTCCTGGGAGCTCCGCTATCTTTGGGCAAGAGCAACACCAGGTTCACTGACGAAGAACGATTATGAGAAGGCACGATCCACTCCATGCAAGCACGAAAGGTATCATACAAATGCACGAGAATTCTCACAAACAGAGTGATGTCCACTGAGAGCCAATATATCATTGGGGTTTTTACGGACACATTCCTGTATCTGAGAAGTTCCTGCTTTTTGATTGATGCTTATACTGTTGCTGTCTGTATCTGGGAGTGTGATATCGCTGAACAGACATGCCCGGGTTCCGATGCGAGAACGTCAAGATGGCTATACCGACTAGCCAACATCGAGTACAAAGAACACGGGATGAAAGCACGAGGGCTGAAAAAAGCAGTATACGGGAGTCGATGAGAGAAGACGTTCAGCTCCCTGAGTTGAACCTGTGGTTCGGGGTATCAAGAACCTCGCAAGATTCGCCAACAACTATCATCAACCCCATCAAAAACACAGCATTTTGTCGATCGCGCGTGCTTGTCTCACTGCATATTTCACAAACCAGCATGCACGATGTCACGACAAAACGAAGAAAAGCAAACACGAGGTTTGGAGATCTGGTACTTTGATTGCTAGTCTCCTTTCGCTACTGGCTTTGCCTTGCGGGACCCGGCCTAATCATATAGGCTTGTTCGCTCTAAAATTCTCTTCTCCATGGGTTCCTGCTTGACGTGTGACACGAGTCCTCCTAAGCAGACATTGACGGGCAGGTGGGTGCCATATCAAACTTCTTCATCGGCAGCACCTGCGGTGGCGCCAGTGTCGCCCATGGGCTCATCGTCTTCGTCCTCAGAGTCGACGGCGCGCTTGAGCTTGGATGGGGTCTTTGGGGCGCGCTTGGTGACGCGACCGGACTTGACGGCNTGTGTTCAAATCAGTACGGATTAAGCATTGATGGTGGGTGGGAAAGAAATCTTACAGTCGGGAGTGGAAGAACCGCCCTTCTTGGGAGTGGCAGTGGTCTTCTTACCGCCAGCGGACTTTTTCATGTTCATGTCCATGCGGCCGGCGTCCTCAGCTTCCTTGACAAGGGCCTGAGCAGCCTTCTTGTAGACACGAGTGCGGTTCTCGATGGCGTCATAAGTCTCGTTGAAGTAGCGGGCGACAGCTTGATTGTCGACCTGTATATGTGTCAATACGAAAAGTGAGAAGGGAGAAGATGTGATGATATTGTCACTTACCTTTCCGCCGTTAGAGGCGATGATGGCGGCGACGAGGCGCTCCATGCTCTCAGTGCTCTTCCAGTCGGTAGGCATGATGAAGATTGGATAAAGGGATAGGAGTGTGTGTTGTTGTGGGAAAGATATGTGGTTGGACAAGCAAGAGAGCAAGTGCAAAAGTGTTCGTGGTGGTGGATAAAGTGATGTGGTTGCGCGAATGAAGAAGAGAAGGAGAAAGAGGAAGGGAAGTAAGAAAGGGAAGAAAAGGCCGGGCCGAGGACGGTCACTTAGTCGTCGACGTGTTGGTCGAGTGAACGAGAATAAAGCAGATACTAGAGCACGCTGTGAGGCTGGTTCTCAAACGAACATTCGCAATGTCGGATACGATGATACCCCTCTACGATTTTCTAGAGTCAACAAAATTGAGGATATCCTGCAAAGATTTACAGTAAAATCATCGTGGTACTGACTGTTCTGAGAAACATCATATCGAAGAGGGCTTCCAGTAGTCCTATCCTCATGTTTGGGTTCAACGAATGGAAGCTTGCACCACCGATCTTGTTCGTTCTTGCCTTCCATATGGACTTAGCTGGACTTCTCACAATTCTCGTTCCGATCATTAGCCAAATCTGATGGTGTACAGTATGGTGACAAATGTCTTTGCAAATGACCCTAAGTAGTGGTACTGTCGCCATGTACAAGATGACAAACTTATACAAGGCATAGTGACCCAAATGTATTCATAGCAACTTCTAACACTACTGTTATCATCCGAAATGTCGATTACGAAGATTGTCTTGTATCAATTCGTAGGGGTAACAGGATTGAAGTTTTCCTATAGATACTTGCTGTAGAATCGTCTTGACGCTGTCAATTCGGAGAAGCATTGTATCGAAAAAGGCTTTCACTTGGAATAGCAAACACACCTCATAAAGAAACTTTGCATTCCGATAACGTGTTTACTGATACCTGTCCAGAGAGATGACTCTCAGAAAGCACATCTCAGTGAACCAAATTGGCGTTTTCAAAACTTCTTGCATTTTTATGACAGGTTATGGTATCCAATTGTGTGCAGAAGCCGTGCTGGCTCGTGGACAGCCCGTTTGATACTTGAGTGGTCCAGGGAAAGAGGCTTCCGGCAAGTCAACCTTGTAGAAGGTACCAATTTTGACGAATCTCAATGGCAAAAAGATATCTACGAAGTCGTATCGACCATCTTCATTGTCAAATCTCAACTTTGAGCCCCGATTTCGTGCAGTGGTATGCCCGGATTACTATCCGATCGATATTCAAAAGAAACATCCTCGTGTGGACGATAATGTGCATGGTATATACAATGGCTAGCGTCAATAACCAGGCGCCTCTGGACGAGCTGATCTGACTCTTGGGTGGCAGGTAGCATGTATATCGTTGTGCTGTTCGCCTCTTCAAGTACCCGTGACTTGCTCCCGAGAACCAAATCATCGAAATGTGTCTACAGTAGTGGCTTTTAGAGACATGAGCATGATAGAGATACCGTGATAGGTACAAGACAAAGGATCAATTGTGGAAGATGGAGATGTTTCTTGATTACTTGAAGAGTAATGTAACCTGTCTCCTTTTGGGTTCAGCTACGGGCGCAGACCATGAGAGAAAGACAATGGCGACACAGCCATGTAACTGAAAGGGATGATACCGCAAAAGCTGTGAAGAGGTCAGTATGGATATACAATATTGTGATGAGGAAGTCTTACCTTCAAGCCTCAGCCTCGTCCTCATCTTCTTCCTTGACGACCGTCTTCAACTTCTTGGTCTTCTTGGTCAGAGGGGTGCCCTCATCGTCATCGTCGTCATCCGAAGCGGCCTTCTTGGCCTTGGTCTTGCGCTTGCGAGGAGTGGGGGTAGCGACAGCAGCGGGAGCAGCGGTGCCGTCATCAGAGGTGGCGGTGGTAGCGGTCTCACTGGCTCCCTTCTTGAGCTTGGCGAAGCGCTGGCTGTAGTGACACGTGAGCCAAAGATCGTAGCAGTATTTACAACGATCATACCGGACAGCCTCCTTGGTTTTGCCCATCTGATTAGCAACTTCCTCCCAGTTGGGGTTGACTTGGGCAACGGAGATGACAGAGAGGAGGAGCTGACGGTCCTCGGTGTGATCCCAAGGAGCCATTTTTGTGATTGATTTGATCGGAAGGTGGTGGTGGAATCTGATTAACGGGTGTGGAAAGATGATGGTGGTGGTAAAAGATTTAAGAAGCGTGGACGATGGCGTGTTGTGAACAGACGTGAAGATGAGACAACACAGCGTCCGCGAAAGTCAAGTGAAGGTGAAACACAGTCGTCCGTTCGACGACGATATCATCGTGCGTGAGCAACACGGTAAGAGTCTGAGAGCAGTCTGAATCCTTCTTTGCAGAACCGGAACCCTCACTTTACCTGACATGCAAATTCGAATCTTCGAGTGTCCGAGAGAGTTCTATTAACATGCCTGCTGTATCGTACTTGGTAGCTCGCGAGCTCGAGTGTATACAGGTGATGTATCGGGTGTAATGCAAGAGGTATCTACGCCTGACCGTTCCAACTTTGAGACACCTATAGCAGCGTTGGATGGAAGGTACCAGTGTCAATCAATTCTGTGTGCCCGTCTTCCATCCAGTCTCAGACCGTCTCCAAGACACGCAAACAGATCGAATATGGCGGTCGCCCTCCACGAGACAGGAAGCTCTGGCAGAGGGTTTTCAGTGGGCCTGTGTGCTCAAAGGACAGGTTTGCAGACAGCGATAGGAATCGGACCTCTTGCACGAGACAGCTGCTTTCAACTAGTTTGCCTCTGGAACTCTAGCACCAATATTTCCGTTGGAGCACCAGTATCCCGTAGCTCGCGGTGCCCGTCTTCGGTACCGGATCAAAGGCGTTTGCGACATGGGAAAACAGGTCAGATATACCGGTCGTCGTTTACGAATTGCAAGGGCTCAGTAGGCTGTTTTTGGTTCTCGAGGGCTACAAGGATACCCGTGTACAAAAGGAGGTTTATAACCTTCGTAAGGATGTAGGCTTGTGTGGCATAAGATCCACGATTGTGAGATTATTCCGTTCCTTGGTTAGAACGAACGTGGTAGCTTTGAAAGAGAGTCTTAAGCTGCTGATTGTGTTCCAGAATACTCCGGCCGCGCATGTAAGCACTCCCAGACCCACCCGAATTCTTTGGATGTGCGCAGCAACTTCACAGATGAGAGTTTGTCTCAGATTACGTATCTCTAATAGATCCGATAGTCAGTATCTCAAGATACCTTTGTCGGCGATATGATCGGTTGTTGACATGAAAAGAGGTGGAAGCAGGTACCGACTGAGGTTCGATTTTATGCAAGCGGCTAAATGCCGGCCAAACATCTGAGCGATATCTTCGCTTTGCATAAAATCATACCAAATCAATATCCAAGCATGAGCATTCTCATGGTCCAACGACTGGAAAAGAAACTAAACAAATCCTAGAAAGCTCGTATATCTTGACAGTAGAATCTCTCCAAGAAGGCACAATCAATGAGGCCGACTCAACAATCAGACATTTACACGATCGAATCTTGAACATCACACCACAACAGCAGAGAAAATCTCTGGAGCAAATCATGGCAGAATACGACGATGAGGACAGGATCAACCGGAATAATCCATCATACCCTCAACTCTCGGACCTAATCTTCAACAACACAAATAACAATTCCTTCAACAAAGTCCTCGGAGAACTCAAAAGAAGCACATTATCGATACCAAACAGACTTCGCTCAATCAAGCAAGATGCAAACTTCGTATCCGAGGTAGCTTCAGCTTATGGACTGCCCCTGGTAGCAAACGAGAGATGTGGCAGCTGGTATATCCCGCCTGAGCAGAAGAAACAGAGTGCATACTTCAAGAGCACGGATGGACATATGGCACAGTGGAGTTTCAGCCTGAGAAGATTGAATTTGCAGGTACTGGAGACGATAGGAGAGTTTGATGGGTATGTTTTGATACAGTTGAATGATGTTGAAATGTCTGACTTTGGAAAAGATNGCATTATAGTTGACTCTACACGGCGAGGAAAGAGTATGCCTGATGCCTTGTCAAAGACGATACCCATCTGGACAACAGTCATGAATCGCATCCTGTTTCCCGAGCAAACAGAGAGCCATGAAGTTACCACGCCACCAACAGTAGTCGGAGCATCAGAGCATGCCCAAATCGCTGCACGCATATCTGGTTTCGTTGAGTCTCTCAAGACGTTAGACCTCGACTTCTCGGCCATTCGTCAAAAGCTCACCAAACCATTACGACCGATTTGGGTGACGCCAACATCGTCCCTTCCGGCTTCTCCTCCAGAGTTCTCCTCTTTCCATCCCGTGATTCTCCTCACAGCATCTTCGCGCGTCTCTGGCTCAGAATCAACGTCGGAGACCGGATACGTTCAGGGCGCTGCAGACGACGCAGAAGCATGGGCTCAAGGTCTGACCGCCCCTCTCTTCTGGCAAAATATCGAGACTCTGCTTTCAACACCCGAAGATATGATCGAGGAAGTAATTGTAGGTTTGGTGGCCCAAGTTGACGGCAACAAAGGGGCGCAGCTCACTGGCATCGGACCTGGAAAGCGAGTTGCGATTGGCACGATAGATGCAGCAGAGACCGACGCACTTGAAACAGATATCGTAATTACGGTGTCGCCGAAAGAGAGCGAGGTGTTGCGATCAAAGCTGAAAACACGATACTTGCATCTTACTCTTGCAGATGGAAAAGTAGGGAGCCGGCAATTGCGACACAGTCTACCCAATCTCATCGCCTCGGTCAAAGCACAACTTTCTGCATCCCCAATACCTCGTATCGTGGTTGCAGATGTTAACGGCAAAGATCAAGGCGTGGGTGTCGCATTGGCAATCTTGTGCTTGTTCATTACCGATGATGGAAACGTATTAAGGCCAGGCGAGGAGGTCAAAGAACCGCCCAATGGACTCAACAAGCAGACCATCAAACAGAAACTCAGCTGGATCTCGGTGGCTAAGCCGGATGCCAATCCCAGTCGGACAACACTGCAAAGTGTGAATGCCTTTCTGCTTGGATAGCGTCATAGATGCCGGAATACCCAAGCATCAAGCATCAAGCATCAAGCATCAAGCATCAAGCATCAAGCATCAAGCATCAAGCATCAAGCATCAAGCATCAAGCATCAAGCATCAAGCATCAAGCATCAAGCATCAAGCATCAAGCATCAAGCATCAAGCATCAAGCATCAAGCATCAAGCATCAAGCATCAAGCATCAAGCATCAAGCATCAAGCATCAAGCATCAAGCATCAAGCATCAAGCATCAAGCATCAAGCATCAAGCATCAAGCATCAAGCATCAAGCATCAAGCATCAAGCATCAAGCATCAAGCATCAAGCATCAAGCATCAAGCATCAAGCATCAAGCATCAAGCATCAAGCATCAAGCATCAAGCATCAAGCATCAAGCATCAAGCATCAAGCATCAAGCATCAAGCATCAGAGCTGCAAACAAGATAACGCCACCACAACTGTTGACTGCTTCGAGAACCTCTCTTGCCAACTAGTAGAAAGTATTTTTGATTGGTCATATGATAGCGTGTCTTCGTGATTATTAGCAATTCGAGGCAATGACAGTAGTATGTACTTCATAAGCAGAGATTCGCGCTCAAAAGGTACCAGTGCCAAAGATTCCTCTGCGCTTGTTCTGGCGCATAGCGGCCTTCTCGCGTCTCTGTGCTGCACGTTCTTCCTGGTCCTTCTCTCTAGCGGCCATCTGGATATCTCTCTGCTCCTTCGCCTCTTCCATTTCCTTCTTCTTACGAGCAATCTCCACGCGTTGCTCTTCGCCCTCGACTCTCAATTCCTCTTCCAGCTCCCGTGGGTCCTTAAAGCCTCCGAGGTCCTGACCAGTGGCTTCTGCGAACGACTCGAGGTTCATAGGAACTGCTTCGCCAGCCAAGACACGGTTCACACGGTCTGGATCCAACCGTTCTTCCCGAACAAATTTCAGCTTGATCTGACGACGAGTCTTGGGTGGGAACATCTTCGAGATGATGAAAAAATCAGTGCCAAACATGCGAAGGGCTTCATAGAAGCGGTCTGTCTCCTCGTCGCTCCAAGGGTCAGACTTCATCTTGAAGAAGGGCACACGATCAGTAGGATCACGTCGACGTTCGTTGATCCAGCTCATCTGGTTGACACGTTTTGTCAAGTCATCGTTTTCGGTAACGACCAGGTTTTCGGCATTGCGCTCGGCTTGAGCTTGGCGATCAATACGCAAACTGTCTTCGTCTACGACCAGGTTTCCCTCGGCATCCAGACGTAGGCGGGGTCCAGTCACGACAGCTGCTGGTCGAGGTGTCTCTTCAGTGTTCTCGCCCTCGGCTCCGTCACCAGCTTCAATATTCTCGGCCGGCTGGTTATTGAGAGTTGTAGGATCTATACCAGCTCGAATAGCTTCTGCTTCTGCCACTCTCTTCTTTTGCACTTCGTCCCAGTTTATACCGGCCATCTTGATTTCTCTTTCTGACACCTTACCCAAGCCTCTGTCCTTGGTAAGTTCAAGCATCGTCATTTCCGTGACATCAATTTCGTGGTTTTCTGGATCGTCCATTGGGTCATCTTGGACAGTTGTGCCATCTCCACCCTCGACTTGCTGCGCTTGCTTCTTCTTCTTTTGACGAGGCTTTCTCGGCTTGGGAGCAGGACGAGGTGCGGGTTCTTCTGTCTCGATGATATTTCCATTCTCGTCTTCCACAACTGTTGCGGCCGATTTTGGTGGGCGTTTGGCTCTCGGGGCTCTGGGTTTCTTTGGCTTCGCGGCGGGCGTCGCATTCGAATCGCCTTCCTGAGCACCGCTTGCAACTTGAGAAGAGTCGTCCGTCTCTGCTGGTGGNTTGAGTCGTAGTAGCAGTCTTTTTTGTCGCTTTGCGCGAGGCTTCGGGGCTGGGGCTGGTGGGTTGGTGGGTGGCAGCATTTGGGCTACAGGGGCTCGAGGTTGTTCTTGATGATCGATGAGGGTGTTGATCAAAGCAGCTTCGGGATCAGATGCCAATGTGGGGGTTGCCTGTTGAGTAGCAACAACTGTTGGAGGTTGTTGGAGAGTGGTTTCCTCGGATGGCACAGCAGGCGGAGGAGTGGGGCGCTTGCGTTTCTGACCAGCCAGCTGGTTGGGAGANGGAGCGGACCATGCGCAGAAGACTGCTGGGAATGAGGAGAGGCTTGATGTGTAGGAGGATNNCGGGTTGTCGTGGTTCGGGTTGAGTTACAGGAGGNNGGTGGAAGCGACCAGGGGTTGCGGAGAAGGAGACGGAATTATTTGGCGGTGCGATACATCAGACTGAGCAAGAGACAGCGGCGACGGCTCTACATGGTGAGGAAGGGAAGCTGACGGGGGTGATGTAGGCTGTCTGATGGGTTGTTGAGTGGCAGGCTGAGTTGTCGATTGCTGAGTTGCGGGAGGAGTAGGCAGAGGAGCGGTCGGCGCATGGTGGTCGGGTTGTGTCGAGACTGTTTCGGGTCGTGATGCGCCAGCAGCAGTGTCGAGACTGATTGTGGATGGAGTGGTTTCGGGTGCAAGAACGGGAGCAGGTTGCTCAGGTTGGGCGGGTTGAGCAGCAGCAGCAGCAGGGCGACGACGGGCGACAGCAGCTTTGGGAGCGAGCTTCTTGCCCTTGTCTGGCAGACGCGTTAGTGAGGGGCGTCGCGATTTTGTCTAAATGGGATTCCGCACTGATGGCTGAACTGGTCAAGGGCGCCATAGTGGCTAAGCGCGCATTTCTTGCAACTGTTTGTCCAAGTCGACGAGCGTCTGAGTCGGGTGAGAGTACTGGATCTGAAAAGTCGAGAGTCGGGGAAGGAACTTGAGTCGAGGAAGGAAGCAACCTTGCTGGAAAGTCCAAGTTCTGATCGACGGCCGCCGAACGCGGAAAGCGCCAAGGCCGTCTTCGACGCAACATTCAACTTGTCCAAGTTACTCCCTCTCCTTCTCGCCGACTCCAGCCTTCACTCGTCTCTTGCCTCCTGCTGCCGCGCCACCACGACAGCTACAGCGCCGCCATCTCCGTCGCGCACCAGCTGATCGTGACATGACGCTCTCCGACACGACCAACCTCTCTGTCCACTCGCACAAGCCCACCATGGACGAGCGTAAGAGATCCATCCAGCCCGACTCGGACGACATCTATCCCAGCAAGCGCCACCAGCCCACTCAGAATGCGCCCCAGATGAGGATGGACTCTGAGAAGGAGAAGGATGTCGAGGTGAGTCCACGCCCCTACCCAATCACCTCCACGTGACCCTTCCGACTGACACTGTCAACAGTCGTTCCAAAAGACGCCATCCTCCGCCAGATGAAGGAGTACAAGCGCGAGAAGGCCCTTTACGAATCCCAAGTCCAAGACCTGTCCAAGCGCTCTCAGCACCACGACGACCACTTGCGCATTGTCGACTCATGGTTCACCCAGGTTAATATTTCCCGACACATTCCCATACAACGAATCTCGACACTGACGCCGCCGATCGTGTAGTTACTCGACGAGATTAGAATTCTGGTCGGCGACCTCGTCTCAGATCAGGAACCTGAGGCTGGTGAATTGTTCCGCTCATCTCTGCTCTTCGACGACCACTCTCAATTCGAGTCCCACCTCAAGAACCGCTCTTCCAAAATAAAGGCTGCCATCAAGGATGTCTTTGGCAGGCTACCTGCTGCCGAGCCAGAAGTCAGGAGTTTGCAAGAAAGACTAGCCGCTCTTTTGGCTGCCGAGAAGGCCCATCTCATCGAGAGACAGAGAATTGTTGGTGAGCGTGACCAGTTGTCAGAACGCTTGGAACAAGCATCATACCGTTACCTTCTTGCCGAAAAGAAACTCGATCGCGCAAAGAGTGCCCAAGTACAAAAGCTCGAGCGTCAAGCAACCATGGGCGGAGCCTCCGAGTCCAGCTCTTCATCAGAAAAGAAATCAACCAAGAACGATGCTGTCGAGACCAACGGTGATGTTGACAGTGCCGTTCATGCAGCTGCAGAGACCGCGCGTAGGGAGGCTCTCGCTGCGTCAGAGAAAACGCAAGCTCCAAACCGAACAGCTCGAGGCCGAAAACAAACAGCTGACCGAANNGAATTAACCTCCGCCAAGGTCCGGCTCACATCACTATCTGACGAGGATTATGCCAAAACGGACCTCTACAAACTGCTAAAATCGCAACATGAAGACGTAATCAAACGTGTCAACGACCTCGAAGCTACTAATCTGCAATTACGCGAAGAAGCCCAAAGACTGCAGGCCGAAAGAACATCATACCGCAACAACATGGAAGAGGAGTCACAGACGAACACCACCGACCTTGAAAGCCAATTAGCACGCGCCGAATTTGATCTTGCCCGTATTCGCAACGCGAGAGATGAATTATCAGCCGAACTTTCTGTCCGTAAGGGATCGCAGGAACAGAGCCAGGTGGCATCGGAATCAATCAAGGAGCTGGCAGCTGCCCGAGAGACCCGTATTGCTGCACTGGAGTCAGAAGTCGAACGTCTCAAGCTACAGATCGGAGAGAGCACTGCGGCTTCGACTGATGAGGCTCTGGAAGGCATGTCCATCGAAGAACTGAGATCAAAACTCAAGACACTGGAGAATCAATACCTACTGCTTAACAACGAACTCCCCTCTATGGAAGCCGCATGGAAGAAGACTAAGAGCCTGGCAGAGAGAAAGATATCCGAGATTTCAGAATGGGAAGAACAGCGCACACGCATCAACGCTGAAAAGGCGAAAGCTGATCAAAAGTACTTTGCTGCAATGAAGGCAAAGGAGGCCCGCGAGAACGAACTACGAACCCTCAAGGCGCAGAACGCAAAGAGTTCCGAGATCGTGACTCAGCTAAAGGACGCCGAGAACAACAGCAGATCTCTTATTATGAATTTGGAGAAGCAGGTTTCCGAGTCCAAGGATTCATTGACCTCTATTTCTCAGCAGAATCGAACAATGCAACAAAAGCTCAGTGAAGGAAACATAACTCTGGAGAAGCTTCGCACACAGANNTTACCGACATGAAGAAGTTGGTTACTTCGAAAGACGCTGCATCTTCAGCAGCAGCATCAGCGAAACGACAGGCCGAAGTCGAGCTGGAAGAAGTCAAGGTGCGCTTGGAGGACACCAAGAAATCTCTTGACAACATGAAGAAGAAGGGATCCGNGACGGGAGTCTGAATCGGATGACTGGCGTGTAAGTGCACCTCTACAGCATTGATCGACCTTGAACTAATCACAAGCAGNNAAAATTGCCATTTGTCCCGTTTGCAACTCAAACCTGCGCAACACCGTCCTCAAACTGTGCAGTCATACTTTCTGCCAAGGCTGTGTACAGAACCTCATCGCCAACCGATCAAGGAAATGCCCATCTTGCGGCAAAGCATTTGGCCATGCAGATCACATGCCTATTGTCCTGGCATGAGTTACTCTTGCAGGCTTTGTCACGCAAATTATCATTTACCGACCTTTGAAGCCCATTCCTCCATTCTACGATACCCTGGCTATTTCTCAGCCGCTTTGTTGCTTCATGCTTCCAGAAAGCGGTCTTTTTATGTTTCCTGGGATAGACACGTCAATGATCATATTCAGCAAGAGTCATACAGACATGGGAGGCTGGTTGATAGACGTTTGTTCTCAGCGCCCTTCTCGTGTCAGCCGGTGCGGCATGAAAATCTTAGCACTGGATGGTTGCTGAAGTTTCTTTAGACGAGATGTATGGCCACGAACAGCAGGCTCAAGAACAGTCGGACGATCTTGGATATTCGGATTCTAGTGTCTCGCTTTCGCTAGCCATGTCCCATGCCATGTCGCTTCACGAAATGAAACTGAACGTACAAACTTGGATGTCCGGCTTGAGCACCTACTGGGCGTCATTTGTTGCCACTCTATCAGATAGGGTGAATCACCACACCTGTAGCGCTAAGACTAGGCGCACGTTTCGGAAGCACGCAGATTCCAGCACTGGGTGTGCTGAACATGATGATGGAACACTATAGCACAGTAACTCCAGGTAGTCATCGAGTGTCGAGGGCCACCCCGGCTTTGACCCCAAGAATCAAAAAGCTAAATCAAATTCTGCAACAAACATTTCTATGCCGACATGTCTCTATTCAATGTATAGGGCTATTACGGAAGATGAACCTGCACAGTTGCTTTCTGAACCGACGTATGACTATAACATTGCTTTGACGTTCATCTTTTTAATGGATGTCGTTTGTTTTCATGAGGGTGTGGCGTATTCCTACCGCTACTTATCTTAAATCGTTGTGACAGCAATCCGTACAGGGAAAAGGTTAAGAAGGCGACGTCCTGGGACGCGGAAGTTGATTACAAGTCTTCTGCGATTCACCATATGTTGTTCAGGCCTCCTACAGCTCCCTTCCTCAGACAGCACCAGCGGAAACCCAGAAGACCAGAGCATCACAAGCTCATCCAATCTCTCAAGTTCGAACACCACACTCACTTGCAATAATCGCAGTGGTAGTGAAAGCAATCGCCTTTCGTCTGAATACACAAATTGTTCTTGCAGATGAACTTTCGAGTTGTTCTGCCTCACATCGTTCGGCGGGAATTGGTCGTAGAACATGTCGCAGGCCTTCATCATCAAGCCACAGTTGTGTAGACCTTTGTTTACGCGCTCGCAAGATAGACCAGAGTCGCGTTTGCGTGGGCGGATGGAGAGGTTTGGGTCGTGGGTGTAGGTTGAGATGAGGGGGTAGCGATGGATGTCGTTAAGAATTCGGCAGGACCGGAAACCATGTTGTCGATTGGTGAGGCTGAATTGAGGATAATGAGGCCATTGATAGCGAAGAGCCAGAGATAGAGGGATCGAAAGAACGACATGATGATGCTGATATTGTGGAGAGCCGTCCTTGTGCTTGGTGGGAGGGATTGATTTGGGAACAGGAACCAGAGATCGAAAGTTGTGATATCTTCGACTGTTGAAACCTTTTCACATATTGGCATCAGGTCATGGTGGGAAGTTTCCTACACGATCAGCCCACTGAGAGAGCTATGATAGAGTTACGCAGGTGAGCATGATGAATACGTTCGTCGACGAAAACTTGCTGCGATGCCAGATGTTGTTGATGCTGACATTTGGAAACTCATGTGTCCCATGTATAGATCCTCTACGACCTACCTTCTTCTCTGATAAACTGCCGGAGATACAAATGTAAAAGACGAAGAGAGAGAAAGAGTCTCGAATGTCGAGGCTTGACGATGCACCCTGCGGAGGCGGCCCGTCCCTCTCGTCGATCTCTCGGATGACGTGCCGACAATCAATCTTTCAATCTTCCAAGTCGCAAGAAGAGAAACTTTCTTCTCGAAACACCACGACCAGACAACACCATGGGCAAATCCAAACGCCGCAAGCTGCAAGAACGCAAAGAGCACAACGAAAAGTCCAATGGCGGACGCTCGAAATTCAACGTTCGAGACGGACCTTCGCGACCGAAACACCAGCAATCCAAATCACAGCAACATGCCAAACCTGCCGCAGTAAAGAAGACTGCTACACCTGCACCAAAGCAACAACAACAACATCAAGAACCTATAATCCCTTTTGACGCTCTGGACCGGATCCTGGTCATTGGCGACGGCGATCTGAGTTTCAGCAGAAGTCTGGTAGACGCACATGGGTGCGCTGCACTACTAGCCACAACCTACGATTCCGCGGCCGAGTTACTGGAGAAATACCCACAAGCACAGGAAAACAAAGATGCGATAGAGGCAGAAGAGCAAAGGGTTTTACACGGCGTGGATGCAACAAAACTAGGTCAAAGAGAAGTCAAGAAACAAGCTGGAGGGTGGGAGAGAGTGCTGTTCAATTTTCCTCATGTGGGTGGAAAGAGTACAGATGTGAATAGGCAGGTTAGGTATAACCAAGGTATGTTGTCGGCCCCAATCTTGATGATGTGTTGATGACTGATTTTGTGATTTANNGAAATGCTTGTTTCTTTCTTCAAGGCTGTGGCACCGTTACTGGCTCCTCACGGTACTGTCATTATTACCCTATTCGAGGGTGAACCTTACACTCTCTGGAATATCCGTGATCTGGCTCGTCACTCTGGCTTGGAGGTCCAGCGAAGTTTCCGCTTCCAGGCTGATGCGTATCCGGGATATGCTCATGCGCGTACTCTGGGCAACATCGAAGGAGGTGGTGGCTGGAAGGGCGAAGAAAGGCCATCAAGAAGCTATGTTTTCCAGCACAAGGGCGCAGGAGATGTGGTGCAGAAGCAACAGGCCAAGAACAACAAGAGAAAGAAGATGGAGCAGAGTGACGATGAGGACAGTGATGAGGATTGAGGAGGGGAGAGTGGATATGATCATGGTTGTCTATATTGTTCGATACCCCGAGCGTGGATATACGCTGTTTTCTTTTGCATCTCTCGTCAGCACAATGAATCTCGGGCACAGCACATATATACATGTGGTGTGCTGTCCTTAGAAGCCGACTGCGTGCTTGACCGCTTGCATGGTCGACTCGGCCGACTTCCTCGCCTTTTCAGCACCAATCTGTGCTGCTTCTTCGATGATCTTTCCATCACCACCAACAATCTCCTCGAACCTCGCACGAATGGGTGCCAGATGTCCGTCCACAACCTCGGCAACCTTGTCCTTCAGTGCCTTGAGACTCGATCCTTCAAACTCTCTGGCATACTCTGCAGGACCTGCCGCACCATGATTCGAGCTATCGAGGTTGAAAGCAATTTCAACAAGGTTTGATACTCCAGGACGAGTCGAGGGATCGTAAGTCACGCCTTCGATGCTGTCGGTGAGAGCCACACGCAGCTTTTTCGAGATGGCAGAAGATGAATCCGTTATCAGGATGCGTGATTTGGGGTTGGGTGCTGATTTTGACATTTTGTGCGTTGGTCGGTCGAGGGCCATTACACGTTTTGCGGGAGCTGTGAGATTGCTGTCAGTCTGGGCTTTTGACATGCACTGGTCGCAATTCTCCTAGAATACAATGTATCTTGATGATGGGGAGGCCTTACAAAGTAATGTCTCTGGTTGTACGAGAATTTTACTGCCAGCCAGATGATTGAAACCAGCAGCGCATTCGCGTGCAAACTCGAGATGTTGAGACTGATCATGGCCAACTGGTACGTGCGTGGCTCTGTGAATAAGAATGTCCGCCGCTTGAAGGACTGGGTAAGAGAAGAGGCCGAGCTTGAGTTTTGTCTTTGTGGAAGGGTCTAGAGGATTGGCATTCTCATCCAAGTCGAGTTTACTCTTGNNAATGGATGTCAGGATATGGTTTCAGAAACAGATAAGACAGATGGGAGAGAAAGAAGTAGAGAAAACTTGGGACAAAGGACATGGAAGACCAACCTTCCACTGTGTCATCCTTGAGAGATAACCCATGGATGCTGAACAGCTCAAGATCCACATAAGTTCAGAATGTGCAGGTACNCTACATTTCCCATCAGCCCAAAAGCTCTCCTGCATGGCCTCACTTGGTGTTGGTCCTACATCGCTCTGGAAAAAGATGGTACACTTTTGAGGGTCCAGTCCAACAGCAAGAAGGGCAGCCAGCATTTCTCGCTTGGAGGTCCTCAGAGCATCAGGATTTTGATGTACAGTAATAGCATGAAGATCAACCACCGAGTAAATCAATGAGGTGTTGGAACAGGCCTCATTCTGTAGTTTGACCCATTGCTGCATAGCACCCAGATAGTTGCCGAGATGTGGTACCCCAGTAGGCTGGATACCGGAGAAGATGACCCTTGGCGATGGTGAAGCTTGAGCGCTGTAGAAGCGTGTCGGTGCTCGGCGCGCACCACTCTGCTTCACAGAGCGCGCGCATGCTGAACTACAGAGTTTTGACAACATTGAAGTGCAGCACAACAACCAAGGTATGTTCTCCCACGGCATAGAGAAAGATGCTGTCCGGCGTTGCGGCGATAACGGCGATAGCGGCTGATCATCGGTAGTAACTTCCAATCAGCGCCTCCAAGTCGGAAGATCGGCAAGATGTCCTGGACCGGCAAGCCCTCACAAGAGGAACGTCAGCGGCTTCCACTCGGAGGAGACAACGCGGCGGTTGCTGGACCCTCTATACCACAGTCACTGAACAAACAATCCTCCACACCCAGATCTGTCCTGGTCCGCGCAAATCACTCCCCTCGGCTCAAATTTCTCGCCAAATCGAACACAAACAACAAGTCACCCATCAAATCCGCCGTCACCATGTCGTGGGCCGGCTTCAAGAAGAACGTCAACAGGGCTGCCACCCAGGTCATGGTCAAGACTGGCCATGTCGAGCAGACCCACGATCGCAGCTACGAAGTCGAAGAACGCCGCTACAGAGTCATGGAAAACGCCGCCACTCGCCTTCAGAAGGAATCAAAGGGCTACCTGGACAGCTTGCGCGCAATGACTGCCTCGCAGATGCGCATCGCAGAGACAATCGACGCTTTCTACGGAGACGCCGGCGCCAATGATGGTGTCTCGCGCAGCTACAAGCAGGCTGTTGAGGACTTGGATGCCGAGACCATCAAGGCTTTGGATGGACCCTTCCGTGCTACTGTCCTCGACCCCATCAACCGCTTCTGCGCATACTTCCCCGACATCAACGAGTGTAAGCCTTGACCGCTTCCACCTCAACTCACTTCTCTACCTTGTAAACACCAAAGCTAATCATTCTTCTCGGCACAAACAGGCATAAAGAAGCGCAACCACAAACTCCTCGACTACGACCGCGTCCGCGCCCAAGTGAAACGCCTGACCGAAANNAAGCCCGACAAGGACGTGACCAAACTGCCCCGCACCGAAAAGGAAGCAGAAATGACCCGCGCCGCCTACGAACAACTCAACGAACAGCTCTTCAGCGAACTGCCCCAGCTCATCGAACTCCGCGTCCCTTACCTCGACCCTTCGTTCGAGGCCCTCGTCAAGATCCAGCTGCGCTTCTGTGCAGAGGCTTACTCGAGAATGGCTCAGGTGCAGCAGTACTTGGACCCCGACACTAGAGATCAGTATGCCAATGGCAATCTGGATGCTAGAGTCGAGCAGGTCTTGCAGGAGATTCGTGAGTTGAGCATTGCTGGCACTGTTTGAGCTTGCAGAGGAAAAAGGACAAAGGTTTCACGAGGAAGAGGGTTTATCACCAATGGCATATCGATGTGGGAGAGGAGCACATCCTGGCGTTTGTTTCGTTTTCAAGATTTTCCATTCTCTGCTTTGAGATCCAGTTCATGTAGACTATGGATCCTTCTTTGGGGGGAATTAATACGAGGATAGAGTGAAGAAAGCCAAAACTTTTCGAGTAACAGTCTCTCCCTGCCCAAGACGGCTTCTTTCCTTCTTTTCATCACTTGTGTAGACCCAGCCCATGGCTGACATGCTTCGCATCCGCGCGAGTTCTTGCTTTCGCGCAGAAAGTGCTGATCCTGGAGGTACTGTTCTTGGCCACTTGCCCGTTCTCTCCATGCTCCTGCATTCTCTCGGGGCGGAATCGAAGTATTGCTGTCGTCACTATTGTACACATCAGGTCAGGTAGCCTGAAAGATCGTCTGAAATTTGGTCGATAACGGTGTGACCATGATCTCTACTCGAGGACGATAGCGTCAACATCCTCTCCTTGGACGGCATTTTCGCCATTGGCAGGTGCAGTGGAGATTGCGTTATCGATGTGCACTCCGTTGCTGTGTCCGTTCTGCATCTGCTGCATCTCGAGCTCAGAAGGTTGCACCTGAGGAACACCCAGGCCACTGGTTTGCAGGAATGTGTTCAGAGGGTAGATAGGTCCGTCAAAGTTCTCACCATCGAACATGACAAAGTTCTGGATGGGTTGCTCGCGCTTGCCGAGCACATTGATGACGTCCTCTGCCAGTCTGCCACCAACAAATGCAGCAGTGGGCACAATCTCGCTACCAATGTTATGCAAGAAGCTGCGGAGGAACTCGGCTGTGAGGGTCTCGACTGGCATCTGGAGCTCCTTAAGCTTGTTGGTGGCCATGCGAGTGAACTCGGCCAGATCAGGTTTAGAGTTTTGATCAGGCAGATGGTGGTGGTTGCGTTCGAAGTCCCAGAGCGCGCGCAGACAAGGAAGGAGAGGTGTGACGGATCTCATCTTGCGGCGGTTGCGGATGAAGTCGTCCGGCAAGGGCGAAGTGTTGGCAAGGAGTAGTGGTGAGTAGATTTCACGCTTTGTGACAGTTTCGATGTTCTTGCCGTTCTGCTTCTTGGTCGAAACTCCGATGATGCTGCGGGTGGCAGATTCCTGTTTGACAACGGTAGGCATGTTCGAGGTTTCGCGTTCAATAATGTAGTCGTGCAGAATCAGATCGGCAAAAATGAAACCATAGAAGCCGTGAATACCAGAAGCGTAGAATGGGCGGTTGACAAGACGACATGCGGCGTTGATGGTAGACATGGTTTCCAGATTCTGGTCGCAGGCAATGACGAGTTGGAAGGGGGCGTAGTAAGTCTGATCCTTGGTCAAGATGTTGCTGCTGTCGGTTCTGACGGCGACTCTTGGGTTCAACTCTTGGAGACGCTCTGCAGCAGCCTCTGCTCGNCTATACGAAAGGTCAGCTGCGACCATAAGATTCAAGAGACTCGAGATACGCACGTTGCGACCAATGTCTTCCTCGCGCACAAAGTACTGAGCACCCAGGTCATCTTCGGTGATTTGCTCGCTGTCTACGATGGTCAAGGAGCCAATGCCGTTCAGGATGAGGTTTTTNGCAATCTCTGTACCTAAAGCCTTGACAGATATGAGCAGAATGTTGGCAGAGCGCATTCTATGCATGGATGGTCAGTACGCTTTTCAGAAAGTATGCAGAGCAGGCAGTTCTTACCTCTCTTGAGCCTGCACACCCCAAAGGCGGATTTGACGATCATAGAGAGCGATCTCATCNTGGATGAAGTCAGTGACCAAGCTGACGGAATCTGTATTACAAACGATCTTACCGGCGCTCATGGCTTGTGCCTGAGCAATGGCGGCGACAGTCTCGGCGGCTGCGTCGTGTTCTTGAGGTGCTCCGTTGGTCTGATCCACTGCCAATCATCAGTCTTGCTCCAACCAGCTTTCCAAGGTCTAAGTCTTCTATGACTTACTGATGTCACCGTTTGTAGGCAATGTCGTATCGTCTGTAGACATTCTGATGAGATGAGAGCCTTCCCGGATGAGAGATGGCTGGATGTTGTGATGTTTCCTCTTGGCAAATGGTCGACGGATAGAGAGCAGTCAAAAGTTGCGTATATGTACAAAGAAGAGAAGAGATAGAAGCAAGTGAAAGTTGTTTGTGTTGTGATTAGATGTGCTGGCGGCTTCGAGAAAGTGATGGGTCCCTGCAGGGGTTCTTCCTCAGAGTTCAGGTTGGTGCAGGAAGCAAAGTTGGGAGTCAAAATGTAATAATCGAGGCGATTGAATAGAAGAGAGACAAGACTGATGATGGAGCGAGAGGAGGAGATAATGTCAAGTTCTCACAAAAAGTAAAAGCATCCAAAGTCCAAACCTGGTCGGCGGCGCGCGCAAGCGGTTGGCCATGGACGGTGCACGGACGTTCTGAGTCGGCATCGTCTTCCCCGAGCTGGACATTCGCGACCCTGATGAACACCTATGAACCTACCTAGCTCGGTCATAATCTTCCATCTCGACAACACAAACTAACTTCACAATGGACGCAATCATCGAGTCTGGTCGCAAGATCTGGGAGGGCGAGATCGTAAGGTCTTTCGCAACAAGAAGGACGAGTCGAAAGCTGACAGCTCCAGNNGACTTTGAGGGACAACGCCTGGTCGAGATGTTCTGCACCGTAATATTGACCACCGCCGGAGTATGACTACCCATTCTGTCCATCCTACTCCCTTCAACATCTACCATATACTCTGAACGACCTCATCGCATATCACTCGACAGTCTGTATCCCACAGAGCTGACCCCTACTCTAGNNGTCGTTGGCTTCATGGTCGGCTTCGCAACTCAGAACATACAATACACTCTCTGGATCCTACTCGCCGGAGCAGCTCTCACATTCGTCGTATGCGTACCGCCATGGCCATTCTACAACAATGACCCTGTTAAGTGGCTGCCGGCAAAGAAGGCTGGGGGTGTCTCGGCCATTGATATCACAGTCGATGGGAAGAAAGTGCAATAAATCATACAAAGCATAGGTGTTCAGGCGTTCGCAGGACGGGTCAAGGCAGACAAATCACAGTTGCCTAGCTGCACAGGAGTTTATGGAAATCATAAATACGGCATGTTTGTGCCTGTCATTAATGTGGGCGTAACAAAAACGCGCAGAGTTGCAATGCTATTTCTCTTTGGTCGTGTAATGTCTGGCCGGATGCGTTGACGTCTGATCGTTTGTGTCTTCCTCTCCATCCGCCAAGCTGCTCTTTCAGTGCCTTTGGGGTATGGTGTGATGTGCGGCGGATGGCTGATCGCGGGAAGTCGACGCTGGAATGCTCGCAAGTGTGGTGAAGCAAGGGTATGTGGTCGGACGAAGTGGCGAAAGCAATGATTTATCGGCCGTACTTTTGGAACTCCCAGTCTCTGTTGTCCAGTGGGCAGACTTGACGGGTCTTGAGCCAACGTGAGATGCAGTGGAAATGGAAGGCGTGCTTGGAAGGGGTTAGTACAAATGACAATTGAGGTGGATGGTTGCCGCTCACATTGCAGATTCCCCAGGCTACGGTGCATTCCTCGCTGGTGGCGGATGCTTGGTTGGCTTGACAGTCAATGNNCCTTGTGCTGTGGTCAGTGTCTTGTGCAGGAACAGTATGGCAGGAAGCAAGCATACACAGGTCCATGATGTGGTTACGGCAAATGGCACAGTTGTCGACGACGATGTCCCAGGCCCAGAGAGCGACAGCGTTCCACTAAGAGGGACAAATCAGCCATTGGTCCTGTGCGTACAGATTGGTGTACGACTCTACCTTCTTGACTTCGAAGCGCTTCTTTCCAGAGTCGGCAGCAGTGTCGGCCTTGGAGGTCTTGGTCTTGGGAGGCGCGTCGGTCATCTCCACGTCGGCCATGTTTGCTGATTGGAACGAGTTGATCCGGGGATGGGGGAGAGTGGAAGCAGGTGTCGGGTGTCGCAAGAATGTGAGAGTGGATCAGATGTGAATGTTTGATGACGGCGAACGTGCTCTCTCTCTCTCTACCTAGGCAGCTGCTGCCACTTGAAACGCGGAACGGAGGGAAGCTCGGCTGCTTTGAGCCGCAAGCACTTGCGTCAGATCAGATGCAGATAAGATCCGCTACGGCGTCGTGATTGGCGCGATTGGCCACGTCGGGCGCAATCCACCTCCACGACCACCTTCACGTGCGTCTCATTGCGCCCACTCTCGATCAGCCATCCATTCTCCTTGTCTCAGCCCTCATAAAGACACCTACTACACGTCTTGCCGTCCGCCTTTCGTGATCTCCCTTTCGTTCACTCGCACTCCGGCACTCGTTGGTACTTCAGTCGCCCATCTACCTCGGTCTTACGCGCCCAACCCGGACGTCAACATCTCCCTATCTGTCCAAGCTGCCATCTCGCACATTGGTCATGTCTACAGTAATCGCTGCTCCCTTCCAACAACCTTCGACCTTTGGTTCGCAATTCCACAACATGACCAACAGCCCTACACAACCTGCCGCCCAGCGCAACAACAGGCCGCCGCGTACTCGCAACGGAAACATTCACAATGAAGAGAAGAACACCCAGTCCGACTCAGGTCTTCCCTCGCAAGCGACCACTCCGAAGCCCAAGAAGACCAGGCCCAGACAGAACGATAACCGCGCTGCTTCCAATAGTGATGTGCCCAAGTCCACAAGTGCACGATCTAAGCCCCAACACAAGTCACCTACCGCTACTCCTGCGAAAGCCGCTGCCTATGCTGGTCCTACCTTCCACGCTTCCCCCGCCGCCTCAAATCTGCCAATGCCCAAGTTTGCGAGCAAGTCGGTACCCCCTGTCACCACGAGCAATTCCATGCAAGCCAAACTCGACGCCGAATCCACAAAGCTCAACGCGCCTTCGCCGTCTCTCGACAATGCTGCCCCACAAGCTCTGTCCAGGGAGAAATCTCCACTCGATATATTCTTCAACGCCGACAGGCAAGAGCGAGCCATCAAGAGTTCTCCTTTGGCCCAGAGACGTGCTACCCCACCGCAAGCGAAGGGCATGTTCAACCTAGACATTGACTCTTCTAGCAGTCCTGCTGCCAACCGCAATCAGGCAGAGATCGACAGACAGGCTTACACGCAATCGCTGAAGAACTTCTTGAATCTGCAGCCCTCCACCACTTCTCCTGCTCAGCCTCGCGCTCAGCCAAACCCTGCATTCCAGACGCCTCAGCAGCAGCGCACGCTTGATGCTGATCCTTCTCTGCATTATGGCAACCGCAGTCTAACTCCTCTTTTCCATGCTGCTCGCAACCCTTCTTCGCCTCAGACCACTGCAGACCTGACTCCCAAGCGCGAGCCTTCGGGTTATGCTCAGCAACCTTTTGATCCTCGCGCCTACCTTGAATCTCAGTCACCCTTCATTTCGCGTCCTCAACATGCTACAGCCTCGCCCCAGCAGCAGCACTACCAGCCCCAGCCTTACCACAGTCCTGCACAGTATATCGGGGCTCATCGACCACAGCCACCTCCACCTCAGCGTCCATCGGAGCCCGATCATTCTCCTGATGTCAAGGGCATGGAGGCTAAGCTTAGAGGCATGCTCAAACTCACCTAATCATCACCTTCTGGATCTTCATTCGCCTGCTATAGCCACTTTTTGTACACTCTGGCCAGCCCTTCGCTTTTCTTTGATTTTTTCCATCCACCTGTTGTAGGGGGACCAGAGTGGTTCTATACGGCGTCTTGACCTTCGGGTCTGAACATTTTGCGACTTTCGGCATCGGTTCGCCTTCGTCATTCACCAGCCACTAGGTTTACTGACGGGTCATGTTTTCTCGGATGTCTTTTGGTCATGGTAGCGTTGGCATGGGAGTCCAAGAGCTATCAAAGCTTCGCATTTGTCTATGACTCTTTACGTTGCGAATCTTGGGGAAATCTTGGAGTTTCTATATCTTTCCTGCTTTTTTCGTAATGCTTTTTGTTTTCTTCCTGCTTTCATCTTTCTATGTGCTTACTTTCTGTACTTGCTTGTTTTTCTTTGCGACAGAGGGTTGCATATCTGGGCATTCTGGGGCGTTGATGGGAAACAGGAACAGACAGGGAACCCAGTCGGGCGGCGCCGATCTATCGATTCTCGTTTTTTGGTAGGTGTGCGACGATACCCCCCCTTGCTGCGCTTTGGTTTCGCCGTTTGCGATTTTCTCTTCACTCTCTTCTTATGCGCTTTCTGCCATCCTTTTTCTTTTGAGATTTACCACCTAGTTTCCCTTTTCCTTGTCATTTTGAACAGAAAAAAATCAGAAAATCATACTTTTCCAGGGGCTCTTGAAGATGCTGGTCGCTTTTGGATCAGCTTGAGCTCCTGGCCCAAAATCTCTTTGCTTTTCTTTGCATGATTTTGATCCGTTTGAAAGCGTTTTCTAGTTTGATGTCTCTACACATGCTTCAGGTGGCAGCATAGAGTGGTGCATATCGCAGGCAATATCAATCAGTGGCAAGAGGTATGTATCAAATGAGTTTCGGATTGCTGACTATCAAGATCAAATCGAAAGGTACAGTACACAGCCACTTTCATATCATGAGGGATAACGACATCCTTCTGTCTTTGAGTTCACCAAACTTATCCCACTACCGCCCACTAGACGTTCCTGTGTCGTAGTGATACGCTTTGAGGAAGCTCATACCCCCAGCGGTCGTTCCAAAGATGCCAATATTCCGTGCGACTCGCAGCCAGTGTAATTCCATGCGGCTCAAGACCTGGGTCTGAGAATGTGGGTCTAATTACGGACGAGGCCGAAAGCCTAAGAACATTCCTCAAATATCGACAAGAAGCTCCAGATCCTAAGAAGCCTCCGCAACATCCGTCACAACTGCCTCTGCAACCTCACCGGGCGAAACAGTCTGACTCGAATGCCTCCTGGATCTCCTTCCACCCAGCCTACTCTCATGCGGCCTGATACTCTGCCTCTGCTCAAGCGCACTGATGGCACCAGGATCATACCTCAATCTCACATCATCAGACGGAGACTCTGCAGGCGTGGGAGCGGCACCAATAACGCCAGGACAGATGATGGAGTTTGGCTGTGGGGTTGCGGCGACAAAGGCGGCGGATGCAGAGTAAAAGGCTGACTTGCGGGCGCTGCCGATCAGAGAGATGGAGGTGCCGGTGAGGTCTTGACGTTTGGGGNNGAGGGGGGCGGCATTGCAGGCGGCCATGTCGTGGGTGATTGCGTCGTTGGAGGCGTGGGAGAGGGAGAGGAGAGAGAAGATGGAGGTGATGAAGAAGAGTAGATGCATCATTGTTTTTGCTCTGTAGCCTCTTGGAGATGGTAGGACACGACAGAAAAAAGAGGAGAGTGAAGGAAGAGGCGAAAGCAAGAGGTAGGCGTCAAACTGAAGTCATGAGTGCAAGACCAAGAGCGATCAGAAGCTTTGAACGAATGGGGTATCAGTCGATCCAAGAAACGGTCTACACATTTGCGTGAAGCAACCTTCAGGTTGAAAAAAGTCACGAAAGGATAGAGTTGATGGGAAAGAGGTGGTGAGATATATGTGGTTGATCTTCGGGAAAGAGCCATCGATCGAGCTCCTCCTTCCAACTCCATGAGTTTCTGTTTCAAATATGAGTGTACGTTCATTCCATTCCCCTTCTTGCATATACATCGAGGGTAAGTGCTATCAACATTGACAAGACTTTTCTGTTCAAACAAAGTTTACAAGGGCGTTTCCCAAAACAACCTCATCTCTCAAACTCAAAACATTCCCTCCACATTCGAGGATTCGTCATGACACAGGACTTGGGACATCAGCGTCACAAAAACCATCTCTCATCCTCCATTAGAGTCGGCGTGGTGGGTTGGGTGGTTGTGATGGCTGCGGACCTCTGAGCAATGCCATGCTTCCGTTTCCTCCATGAGTGCCCCCTCCTCTGCGCAAGAGTCTGGGATAACTTGCACCAACTTCTCCACTCTGAGTATCCACATTGCCGATGTCTTCTGAACGTGTGGACTGCTGTCCTGATGTGTGGATCACGGTGACTAT